TACACCACCCACTATCAATGTTACTGTCATACACCACCCACTATCAATGTCATACACCCCCCACTATCAATGTCATACACCCCCCACTATCAATGTCATACACCCCCCACTATCAATGTCATACACCCCCCACTATCAATGTCATACACCACCCACTATCAATGTTACTGTCATACACCACCCACTATCAATGTTACTGTCATACACCCCCCACTATTAATGTTACTGTCATACACCCCCCACTATCAATGTTACTGTCATACACCACCCACTATCAATGTCATACACCCCCCACTATCAATGTCATACACCCCCCACTATCAATGTCATACACCCCCCACTATCAATGTCATACACCACCCACTATCAATGTTACTGTCATACACCACCCACTATCAATGTTACTGTCATACACCCCCCACTATTAATGTTACTGTCATACACCCCCCACTATCAATGTTACTGTCATACACCACCCACTATCAATGTCATACACCACCCACTATCAATGTTACTGTCATACACCCCCCACTATCAATGTTACTGTCATACACCCCCCACTATCAATGTCATACACCACCCACTATCAATGTTACTGTCATACACCCCCCACTATCAATGTTATTGTCATACACCACCCACTATCAATGTCATACACCACCCACTATCAATGTTACTGTCATACACCACCCACTATCAATGTTAATGTCATACACCACCCACTATCAATGTTACTGTCATACACCACCCACTATCAATGTCATACACCACCCACTATCAATGTTACTGTCATACACCCCCCACTATCAATGTTAATGTCATACACCACCCACTATCAATGTCATACACCACCCACTATCAATGTTACTGTCATACACCCCCCACTATCAATGTCATACACCCCCCACTATCAATGTTAATGTCATACACCACCCACTATCAATGTCATACACCACCCACTATCAATGTCATACACCCCCCACTATCAATGTCATACACCACCCACTATCAATGTTACTGTCATACACCACCCACTATCAATGTTACTGTCATACACCACCCACTATCAATGTCATACACCACCCACTATCAATGTTACTGTCATACACCCCCCACTATCAATGTTACTGTCATACACCACCCACTATCAATGTCATACACCACCCACTATCAATGTTACTGTCATACACCCCCCACTATCAATGTTATTGTCATACACCACCCACTATCAATGTCATACACCACCCACTATCAATGTTACTGTCATACACCACCCACTATCAATGTTAATGTCATACACCACCCACTATCAATGTTACTGTCATACAGTACACCACCCACTATCAATGTCATACACCACCCACTATCAATGTTACTGTCATACACCACCCACTATCAATGTTAATGTCATACACCACCCACTATCAATGTTACTGTCATACACCACCCACTATCAATGTCATACACCACCCACTATCAATGTTACTGTCATACACCCCCCACTATCAATGTTACTGTCATACACCCCCCAATATCAATGTTACTGTCATACACCCCCCAATATCAATGTTACTGTCATACACCCCCCACTATTAATGTTACTGTCATACACCCCCCACTATCAATGTTACTGTCATAGTCATACACCCCCCCCCAATATCAATGTTACTGTCATACACCACCCACTATCAATGTTACTGTCATACACCCCCCACTATTAATGTTACTGTCATACACCCCCCACTATCAATGTTACTGTCATACACCCCCCACTATCAATGTTACTGTCATACACCCCCCACTATCAATGTCATACACCACCCACTATCAATGTTACTGTCATACACCCCCCACTATCAATGTTAATGTCATACACCACCCACTATCAATGTTACTGTCATACACCACCCACTATCAATGTTACTGTCATACACCCCCCACTATCAATGTTATTGTCATACACCACCCACTATCAATGTTACTGTCATACACCCCCCACTATCAATGTCATACACCACCCACTATCAATGTTACTGTCATACACCACCCACTATCAATGTCATACACCACCCACTATCAATGTCATACACCACCCACTATCAATGTCATACACCACCCACTATCAATGTCATACACCACCCACTATCAATGTCATACACCACCCACTATCAATGTTACTGTCATACACCACCCACTATCAATGTCATACACCCCCCACTATCAATGTCATACACCCCCCACTATCAATGTCATACACCCCCCACTATCAATGTCATACACCCCCCACTATCAATGTCATACACCACCCACTATCAATGTTACTGTCATACACCCCCCACTATCAATGTTACTGTCATACACCCCCCACTATCAATGTTATTGTCATACACCACCCACTATCAATGTTACTGTCATACACCCCCCACTATCAATGTCATACACCACCCACTATCAATGTTACTGTCATACACCCCCCACTATCAATGTTAATGTCATACACCACCCACTATCAATGTTACTGTCATACACCACCCACTATCAATGTTACTGTCATACACCACCCACTATCAATGTTATTGTCATACACCACCCACTATCAATGTTACTGTCATACACCCCCCACTATCAATGTCATACACCACCCACTATCAATGTTACTGTCATACACCCCCCACTATCAATGTTAATGTCATACACCACCCACTATCAATGTTACTGTCATACACCACCCACTATCAATGTTATTGTCATACACCACCCACTATCAATGTTACTGTCATACACCCCCCACTATCAATGTCATACACCACCCACTATCAATGTTACTGTCATACACCCCCCACTATCAATGTTAATGTCATACACCACCCACTATCAATGTTACTGTCATACACCACCCACTATCAATGTCATACACCACCCACTATCAATGTTACTGTCATACACCCCCCACTATCAATGTTAATGTCATACACCACCCACTATCAATGTTACTGTCATACACCACCCACTATCAATGTTACTGTCATACACCACCCACTATCAATGTTACTGTCATACACCCCCCACTATCAATGTTAATGTCATACACCACCCACTATCAATGTTACTGTCATACACCACCCACTATCAATGTCATACACCACCCACTATCAATGTTACTGTCATACACCCCCCACTATCAATGTTAATGTCATACACCACCCACTATCAATGTTACTGTCATACACCCCCTACTATCAAAGTTACTGTCACACACCCCCACTGATACTGTCATACACCACCCACTATCAATGTCACCGTGTCAGTGACCACCCACTGCCAGTAAGCGCCAATGTATTGACTAAATGATGGGCACTAAACAATGATTTACTGATATGATGCACTGTATTAATGATGGGACATTCAGCACACGAGCTATATCTATCCCCCCTTCCTATAAAGTATGCTTATTTTTCTTACTTTTAGTACCCTCTAGTCAATGGCCAATAATTCTTTGTTAAACATAATTTTTGTACAGCTAATAGTAATATGTACATTGTATATAGCCTCTAAACTATCGACTGAGAAACCACAGAAAAATAAACAGCAGCCCAAAAGAAAAGGTAACTCACATTTACAAAACTTGTCTACCTTAATTTAAGATAAACACAAGTCACAATTATTTCCCTTAGTATTGTGCAGAAATTTTTCACTTGTTAAATAATAAAGTTACTAAAAACAAAACTTTATGGATACATTTTTTACAAACAAAATACATGTGATACAAGCTTGTCCAATAACACAATAAAAAGAATGGCTCTCCACACTATTTCAACACAGTGATGAATCATTTATTTTTGTTAAAATGTTAAAAGCTAATAAAAACGTGTTAAAGCTAACTAAAATGATTTTTTGCTGAGAACAGATGGAACATTGTTACTAATCTAAGCATTGCTCTTTATTTATAACTAAACTGGTGAAGCACTATCCAAGCAATGACCACACCAAAAAATCATAAAATGTTTTTGTAACTCTCAGCTGCACTACACTGATCTACCTCATGTCACTAGCACCCAACAAACAGATGACATTTACTGTGGCATTCAGTACCTGTCACTTGACATGTCATTCACACATTCATGTCACCAGCATTGACCACACAGCTGTAATGTCATTTGACATTCACACAGTATTCTTAACGCCCCTGCATACAACAGCTATCATGTCATCAGATGCCCAAGTTGGAAACTGACTAAAACAAAAAAATAACAAACATAATGATTTAAGTCTATTGTGACACATAACCCAGTTTCCATCTACTATGTCACTGTGACCCAGCCACACCAAGCCAGAAAGGATATAAAATACATTGTCTAAATATCACACAACAACTAGAGTCCTCTTAAGAAGCAAAAAAAAAATCCCTTCACCACAAAAACAAATTGTCTAAATAGATTCCATGAACAAAGTGTATCAACATGGGGCTGCTTGTGAGAGAAACCCACCTGATTGGTGGGACAGGACCTGACTCATATCAACAGGGGGGAATACAAACTATCAAATTACATGGACAAAAATTATTGAGAGCAGGCAGGAACAATGTGTAAGCTGATACTGGTACTTAAGTTAAACCTAGGCTAACTTAGGATGACATGTTAAAAAAAACTAGGCTAACTTAGGCCAAAATGTTAAAACTAGGCTAACTTAGGCCAACAGGTTAAAACTAGGCTAACTTAGGCCAAAATGTTAAAACTAGGCTAACGTAGGCCAACATCTTATATATATACATATATATATATTATATATATATATATGTATATATATATATATGTATATATATATATATGTATATATATATATATGTATATATATATATATATATATATATATGTATATATATATATATATGTATATATATATATATATGTATATATATATATATATATATATATATATATATATATATATATATATATATATATATATATATATATATATATATATATATATATATATATATATATATATGTGTGTGTGTGTGTATATATATATACAGATACCTTACATATATGTGTGTGTGAGTTTGTGTAAGACATTGTACAGTGTTGATGAAGTTTGTAGGTGTAAGACAATTCAACAAATCACAGTTCCACACAATCTATGACTCTTTTCTCTCCACTTGAGAAATTTTATTCTGGAAAGCTGATCACAATTGTCTCAGATTTTTTAAAATTCAAGGGTGTGGGTAAATACCTCTTATGCCAGGAAAGGAGAGGGGGTGTTAGTTACGAAGCATTCAATAAATAATGAACTAGCCAACATGATGGTTTGTAAACAGTTAATTACTGTAAAGCCTATCACCTTTTAACTGACAATAGATCAATAAAGTGTTAGATTGTATAAATTGTTGGGACAAAATAAAAAAAGCAAACTGCAGAGACAATCTTCACACAGAAGAATAGCTGCTGACAACACTTCACTAACAAACAAAACTAGCCATTAAACACCACAATCTTCACACAGAAGACTAGCTGCTGACAACACTTCACTAACAAACAAAACTAGCCATTAAACACCACCAACAGGCAACAACAGTTGTAAAAAAAAAATTAGAATCATACATTAGCTTTGAAGAAAACCACATCAGCCACAAATAAAACAACAGCATAATTCACAAAGCAAACATCCACAAACCAGCACATTTAAACCAACATAGAAAGATCCAACAGGTAGTGATTAATTTGAAAATAATGTTGCATTAATTATGTAGCAAAACACTGCAATCAAATATCTTCCCATTTAATGTCTAATTTGGTTCTGTACTTAATTCACAATGAGTAATCCACAGGGACTAGCATTGATTTCTATAGGCCAATATCCACTGTGTATGGCCTACACCCACTCAATTTGGCCAACACCCACTTGATCTGGCCAACATCCACTAGATTTGGCTGACATCAACTGTATCTGGCCAACACTTATTTATCTGGCAAATACAAACTGCCTCTTGCAGCTTTGCTATTAACTACTATGGAACGTAGCCAACATTTATAACCACAGACAAATTATTGAGAGCAGTAGCAGAAAAGTTTCAATGATGTTTATGATGAACAAACAAAGAATTTGAAAATGAAGAATAAAGAAATACTGTAGCCACTTTTAGTGATAGAAATGGATTGTAGGATGCATTATAAAAATGTCACACTAGTGAATATAGTCATGTGGTGTAACATGTTATATGTAGTGAGCTACAGCTCAAAGTGAATACAAAAGCTCATAAGTGATATGTACAAGGCAGGTTACTGAACACAAACATTCCACAGGATCATTCACACCTCCACCAACACAAACATTCAACAGGATCATTCACACATCCACAAACACAAACATTCCACAGGATCATTCACACATCCACAAACACAAACATTCCACAGGATCATTCACACATCCACAAACACAAACATTCAACAGGATCATTCACACATCCACAAACACAAACATTCCACAGGATCATTCACACATCTACAAACACAAACATTCAACAGGATCATTCACACATCCACAAACACAAACATTCCACAGGATCATTCACACATCCACAAACACAAACATTCCACAGGATCATTCACACATCCACAAACACAAACACTCAACAGGATCATTCACACATCCACAAACACAAACATTCAACAGGATCATTCACACATCCACAAACACAAACATTCAACAGGATCATTCACATGTCCACCAACGCCAGCATTGGGGAAATTATACACAAGTTAAGTTGTTCATATTAGAAGAAAAAAAATTCAAGAAATTATTTGAAGTTCATATTATAATGAAAAAACTCAACAAACTATGACTTTCATGTTATATGAAAAACAACTCACTGAGTTTCGAATCAAAATACACAAAGGACACCAGTGAACAAGTTTAATGTTGTGTGTGTTTGTGTGTTTGAATAAATTATGTATTACATCAACAAAAGTCGTCAACATTGTCATAGCTCTTTGTGGTCCAGTTAGTCAGATGAATATTACTATTAGAGATCACCTCAACATCTTTATGCAACAGAGACCACTTGAAAGACTTCCTAATATATCTACTTTTTCTGACAGGACCCTTCCAAACATATCCACCTTTTTACAAAACCCTTTGAATAATATAATATATATCTGACAAAACCCTTTGAAAAAGAACTATTTTTCTTTAAAAGACCTTTCCAAAAATACCTACTTTCTGGCAAGAACCTTCAACCAAATGTATAACATGCACAAATTCACAGAAATAAAATCAATAAATGTTGTGTAATATAGAGCACACTATAAGCCTGATGACTTGTTTCTCCTTGCCAAGATATTGTTGTCACTCAATGAGAGCTTAAAAATGTGTACTTGTATCAAGTGTCAGTTTTTAATATAATATAAAAGTGATTGATATATAGCCTGTATACCAGTCTAGTCTATTTGGTTTTCATGTAAATTAAATGTGTTAAATTAAATTATCTACAATATGATTTTAAATTAGGAAAACATCTTAGGCTATTAACAAATAACTAGAGGTAGTTACTAGAATTGATAGTTTAACATGTTTAAGTCAGATGAGACAAGGGTGGTTGAATGTTTGGATCAGCTAACAATATCATGGAGTCTAAGTTTAATCTAAGCTTGTGACTTTTACTTCTCTTAAGAAGAAAAATATTTGTTTAAACTTTTAGAAAATTGTAGAATACAATATTTAAAAGATTACACTAAATCATTGGGCTCAGCTATAGCCATATCACAAAGTTCATTTTAAAACTATAACAAAATAAATAAGATACCAGTCTCAGATATGCAATTTATGGAAGACGTAAAATTACTCCAATGTTTCTACTTTTTGTTATGTTAATAAATACATTTTTTTAAAATATCTGATATAGCACAGGTAGGGGTTTCAAACACATTGGTCTAGCTTTCATTTATTACATGTCTAATCAAAATTGTACAGGTCTTAAAACTTTTGCTTGTCTCCTAAGGCAAAAGCAACAGGTTTTTTGTTCTACCTTCAAACAGACAGAAATAATTCAATGCAAGTGGTCAGGTGTGCAACATAATGGAGAACTATTGGACACAAGCAACTATTGATCAGCAATATTTATTCTCTAAACCAATCAACCAATATGACATGTATAACAAGAGATAGAGAGGTCAGATGATGTACCACACCACAACTGATTAAAAACATGACACACTCATTAATCACAGCTATGCCTATAGATTAATCAACAAGGTTTACAAGTTTTTTGTTTTCTTTACAGATTCAAAGGCCAGGGGACTGGGGTGAGGGGGTTGGTAATAGAATGTTTTATAGTTTGGACAAAGGGATGTGGACAAAATAATACACCATACTCAATACAAGAATATTTACAATGGATAGAAAGTTTATAATACAACATACTCCACAGTGACATTAGAATCATAACATTTAAAATGTATGCAGGAAACTTGCTCTGAATAAATATGAATTGAAAATGTCCAAATTTTAAAATTTGATCTCAGCTATTTGATCACCATTTGTTTGAATCAAAGACTGCATACAGAAGAAAAAAAACAATATTCAATTCATTCATTGTGTTAAAAATTCACATTCTGCAAAAACAAACATAAAATTTAAACCCCCATTGTACACAAGGTAAAATGTGAGAGAAATGCACAACTGTTCAGCATTGAAGTGAGACATGCACCTGTAGTATTTGACACTTGTCTTGTACATCAAATAAAATAACTTGCAATCTTACCTCCAATAAAATAAAATATATCAATAATATACATAATTATCCAACCAAACATTGTAAAGGATTAAAAATTGTAGTGCCTTTCTCATACTGACTCAAGAATTGCACTCAAAAAGAAAAGTACCAAAGCCTACAACACTAAATAATTACAACATATAACACATGTCTGATGGAAAATAAAATCAATATGATAAGCAGCATGTTATGAAATATATGCAGTTATGATATTTTGTCTTCTTACATGCATCAACTTAGAATAATTCTCCCTGTCTACATCTTCAACAATGAATGTCATTCATATAGAGGTGGTATTACGATGGTATTATGTGATTAGTGGTAACCGTAAACTACACAAAGCTAATTAATACTTGTTTATATTTGAGCAAAAGATGTTTTAGTTGATTATTATTTTAAGCAAAAACAATTTTTTACTCTAAAGGGAAATTCAGATAAATGTATTTACAACCTGATAAAAAGTTACATTAAAATATCTTGTGCCTAAAAAATCATGATGAATTTTTTCCTTTCCACAATGAAGAAATGACAAGTTTTTTTGTATGCTTGTATCATATTCAGTATGGTACTTTATGTTTTTATTTTTAAAATGTTATGAACATTATATAAAGCATATCAAGAGTAAAAAAATAAGAGCATAAACCAGTTATGGCTGAACTAATGACATCAAAATGCAGCTACTGTGATCAGCAATGAATTTTATTTACACTTAGAATAAATCAAATTGAATGGTTATAAATAGGTGAATTTTTAAAAAAATTCTTATAACAAAATAGTATCTATAAAATGTATATAATACAAGATAGATCAATCGTAAAACAAATTAAGAAAGATCATTATTGCTTATATTATATCTGAGCACAGCAAGTCAACTGTTATAAACATTGTTAAGCACTGGACAAGCTGTATTCTTATCCCCTACCATAGTGAAAGCTTCAAACTATTTAACTTATGCTGTCGAATAGAGGTAAAATCTGCATTGCCTAACTAAAATGTAGAATTCACTAGCTTGTGTGGCAAGTTACCTGAAATAAATCAAAGCTGCTAACCTAATTGACCAACAGTATTTGGAAGTTTTTTGACAACTTGAATTAAGGGCTTGAGACAAGAGATAAGTTGTAAACAATTGTTAAAGAGTAAACTTACTGATCAAACACAGATGCTTTACACCTTTAGCTCACACACAACAAGGACAAAGAAAAGCTCTGTATTTCAATGAAACCATCCTGACAAGAGCTCCCTACAGTCATACAACAGAACAACACTTTGATTCTACCTGTACCACTTGAGCTCCGGAGCCTACTTTACAAAAGGTTGATGTTAATCCATTTTGGCTAGCTGGGGGCTTCCTAGCCTGAAGGCTGGAACCCTTAGAAACACCAAAGTCACCGGCACACATGGAAGCTTTTGCTGAATCTTCCATCAGTCTGTCACAGTAATCAGAAATCTGAGAGAATTCAATAGACTGGGCTATGGAATCTGACTGATTAGAACAGTGTCCAATGTACTGGACTTTGTGTGGAGATGGCGCTGGCGATACAACCACTGTTGTCAGGCAGCTGCTCAGCTGCTGTTTTCTGCTGCTGCTGATGCTGCCAGTCACACTACCAGAACCACTGGACACAGATGATGAGCTAATAGAAGACAGCTTCCTTGAGAGAGCAATCAGGTCAAAATCCCCCTCCAACATTTCCAGAGCTCCAAGCTTGCCATGAACATGTTTCTGTCGCATCAGCTGATTTCTCTTGTTGTTTGTGTTGACAGAATTTTTCAGCTGATTATTTTTATTTGTGCCATCATGAGACTTGAGGTGCTCTTTGCTAACATGTTGCTGTGGTATATTCTCATTATTTTCTTTTGGCCAATCAGGTGGGTCCTCGCTGCTGGACTTGCTGTCACTGCTAGAGAAACACTGCTGTTTGGAATGGCTTTTGCCACCTTTGTCGCTGTTCCCACCTTTACTGCCACCTCCACCACCACCACCACCACCATTTCCTCCACCTCCATCTCTTCTACTCCTATGAGAAGCTTTGGCACCACCGCCACCATTACCTATATGTCCACCACCACCTATATTGTTTCCACCATTCGGTCCATCTGTGTCACTCGAATGGTCGCTGCTGTCTCGTCTGTGCATAAATTTGGGTTTGAGTTTTTCTTTCCTGGACCTCCCATCTGTATCATCCGTGTCACTGGCGTCTGAGCTGCTACAACTTGTACCTCTTTGCCCCGCACCCTTTCTTCTCCTTCTCTGCTCATATTTTCTTAAAATTTCTGGTGACGCCATCCCACTATGGTTAAATCTTCCATGCGGGGCTGACAGTTTTAAAGGAACAAAATCATCTTCATCTTCAGACTCATTCTCCTCGTGTATCTGGTTAAGTAGCTGAGGAGAGCTGCAGACAGATTTGAGAGGACGCCTAGGATTGACAGAATCATGGCTAGAGGATGCGGGTACCGCTGGGGATATACCCAACTCTAGACTGGATGATGCGGATAGATCAGAGGATCTTTCATCAAGAAACTCCAGACTTTTTGAAGGTTTCAGCTCATTGGAATCCATTTCAAAGTCTTCCAGGTCATCATCGTCATCATCTTGGGATTCCTCATGGATGAGGCTACATTTCCTGACAGCAGCAAACATGACTTCTGGAGACAGATGTGACATCTTGGGGGAGGCTGACACTGGAGATGGGTGTGTCCCAGGGGGAGAAACCAGAGACTGTACCAGATTGGAAGAATCGGAGTGCTCTGATCCTACTGACTGTGTCCTGTCATCAAAATAAAAAAATATCGATAAGAATACATTCAATTTGAATTATATATTCAATTCTAGATTTTTAAAAATTAAGTTTACTATATTTTTGTACTTTCCTAGATAACATTCTTTGATTTAAAAAAAGAATTTCACTTTAAATTTAGTGCTTGGCAATTTAACTAAAATTTACATAAATGTTTTTTTAAATTCAATTATTTTAATGTATCAAAAAAAAAATTAAAAACAAAATAGTGTGCAAACTCTCAAAGTGTGAAATATCTCAAAGGAACCATCAAAAAGACAACAGAATAATAAACTTGGCCTAATGAATTCAACAGCAAACTCCAGCAACATAAAATTGTGCATTGGCTTGGGTGAATATCTTCAAACATGAAACAGCTCATCATTCAACATGCTGCAACTATGCTGATCCTGAGATTCACCTCAACACTTGCATATAGAACTAGCTTCTACTCAAGATATCCACTTCAAATCTAAATCAAACGCCTCTAATTACATACTATGATAGCCAAATTTAAAAAATAAATTTTTAAAAGAAATACTACTCAATAATTATGTACATGAACAGCAACTAATTAAATTATTTTTTTGAGGACATGAGTGATGCCCCTTGTCAATTTACATAATTATTTAAAACCTTAGCTTTTATGTGTATTTGTGTTTATATTTAATATACTACAAGTACCAACATTATACTCGCTGGGGGTTTATTAGAATGAAAATCCATTTTTAAAAAAGATCATTTTTAAATTTGATTACTAGCTCCACAAGAGTAGCTTTCTAATAACAAAAATTAAGCCCATTCTTGTCAGTTAATAAGCCTAAAAACTAAGGATAATTAAATTTTTCTTCAATCTTTTCTGCTGAAAGTTAGCATGCATAATGAAGAAGAATCATATTACATATTAAATATTTATCACACAGCCCAGAAACAAAGTTGAATATTCTCTGTGGGGTTTTTAATTTAACATTGACATAGAAAGATAATCTTGTAGACCTCTATAGCCCTTGCAAATGTACTTCATGTTGCCAAATTTAACTTAATATCTCTGTTTTTCATCCCCATTTGAGCATATGATCAAGGTTTGTCCACATCTTGATGTAGAACAATAACAAACTATTAGTTTATAATATATAAATATTCTTTCACTACACTTTATGTTAACAATAAACTGAGCAGTATTAGAAAAAAATGTTTTAAAATTCAAACAGAAAATATTTAAACAAAACTTTTTTTTTAAATAACTAAACAGAATGGTGAAACAAATGAATTGTATAGGCCATAAGCAGTACATGCACCTCCAATCATGAGCAGTTTGAGTGGACTAAAGCCAAAATAACACTAGGGACAATAACACAGATGTATACCTCTCTCAGGTGCTACTGGCAGTTTTGTTACATAGTGAGAAAAATTAAATTATTATCAACTACAAGACCAATTAAATACCAACTTGAAGCGTAATCAATACAAAAGTTAATCATTGCATTTTAATTTCATAAACATTATATCAACATGTCCTTAACAACTACACAGCCGTTTACTACTTAAGGTTTCCTCAAGGCTTTCCTAAGTAAGCTCCTGAACCTAAAGAAGGAATAACTTACCCAAGATTTAAATATATGGGCTTCTAACAAAAACAACAAAATAAAAAAAGTTAAAAACAGTTAAAGAAGCTCATCAGTTGTCAGATAGAATTAAATAGAATCTGTGGTGATGACATATTTCAGCAATACTCTTAATTTTACATGGCAGAATTTTGACATATGTAAACTTGTCATTTAAAATGGTCTTTTGTGTTCTTTTTGTGTTTATTAATCTTAAAAAATAAAAATCCAACTCAAAATGATTGCAACAGTTGCAACTAGCTGAATAAAATTAGACGAAAGGGCTATTAAAAACCATGAAAGCTACAAATGAAAAAAAAATTAGCATTTAAAAAGAGCAAAGATGGCACTTTGATTATATTTTGAAAGTCGAAATAATTTTTTTACAATATGTTATTGCTATGTTTTAATAGCATTGTTTCTGTGTTAGATTATGAGTTTGGAATAGGCAAATCTAATTATTTTTTTAGTTATAGAAGCAGAAGAGCATTTAATTTTATATTAAACAACATCTAATCCTGATGACCATTGTTTACTCTAGAAGGTTCTAAAAATCAATAACGTTGAATGTGAGGAACTAAGTGAATATATTTTACCTTTACACCAAAGGTCCATTTGTTTCTAGCACTAGCATGGTCATTAGCAACCACAATAAGGGAAAGAAATGATAAGGATTTTTTAATAAACAAAGACAGTAACATACAAACTAGAAGGTATTTCCCTTGAAATGTGTTAAGTTAGGCTTGGTTGAGTCCTAGATGATAATCACATAACAATAAATTTATATGCATGATGATGTCCTAGTTATAATACTTTAATAGCTGTCACACGTAGGTAACTGAGGTTTGTTTTATATTGAAAAATGAACATTTTTCTGTTATCTGCCAAACTTTCAGATTTATGATTCTATACTAGTTTAGATTAGATGTCATTTTTTGAAGTTGGTCTATCATATTTTAACAAGCTTTTGATACACCAAGCCTATGAATGTAACAAAAGACAACATACAGCATGGTATACAACAAAGCATTTAGCCTTTTCCACACAACACAGAGTAAACAAAATGTAATGCTTGGAGTTGGTTGGCATGCCTCAACAGGAATATTGTGATACCATCATCTTACCTTTTTTATTTCTTATTTCATTTGAAACATACATAGCTATGATTAAAGATGGTTTCTTTATCTTAAACATTAATTCTAAATTCAAACAAAACTGATATGATTCTGACAGTATCACTGCTATTCCTTATAAAGAAAATAAAAGCAGCAATGTGCTATGATTTTAAAGTTACCGCTGAAATGGTGGGTAATCATATTCCGAGTAATCTAGTGTTGTTGGTGAATTTGGACTGAGAGCAATACGCTGCTTTGATCTGAGAAGTGAGAAAGACATACTCAAATCATGCACAACAATTTTCTGTTGCCATTTCAGAAAACAATCTGCATTAGCTAGGGTAAACCAATCACATTTAAAGCTCAAAACAATTCGGGGTTAGAACAAATTAGAACACAAAATAGCATATACCTTGACATAACAATTTCTATGACTGTCAATGCATGATGCTACATAATATTTCACTTTAAATATGTAAAAATAAATTCAACTCAGGACACTTAACATTGAACTTTGTTTAAACAAAACAAAATGAAAACGCAACTTAAAACTAATAATGTTACTGATGCTGTTTTTGATAAGTTTATTTCATAATCTAAAATACCCGTGTCTAATTTATCAGATGATCAAAAGACAGTAAAGAGTTTTCAAGACTTCAAGACGGCTTCCAATGATTGTTTTCTTGTGTCCCAAAATAGATGCATCTATTAATTACATAGCAGATAATCCATTTATTTCAAGCTTTGTGTTTCCTGTGGGAATTGGTGAATGGCGTCAGGCAGGTTTTTTTTTAGTTATGTAATCAAATATTTCTAAGAGGATGATTAGTGATTACTATGTTTATGTTTAGTTTTCTTTTTACAAATTGGAGATGATGGTGAAGGAGTTGTGTGTTGAGAACTTTTCTTAGAACTATTTTGTTTATCTCTTTCAGGAGATACGGAATGTAAAGATTGTTTAGCTTTGGAAAAAGCAGCCGAGCTTTTAGTTGTAAATTCTTCTGCTGATCTGGAAGTGCTGCTGTATGGTAAAGGATCCTCACCACCTTTTACCTTCAGATTCCGTTTGTAGATATCTACTATTTCATGTAATGATTCACGAACTTTAGACACCAGTACAGAGTCTTTCCTAGAGATACTAGGAATTTCAGATGATTTACTTGATAACGACATACAACTTGTAGATTCTTCAACATGACTATCATTTTTATATTTTCTTGGTTCAGACAAAAATTTATTTTTTGTGAAACTTCCTATATCAGGACTGTTTGTTTTATTTGAATCAACGAGAGCCAGAGCAGAGTTTGTGCTTTTGTTTGATTCTGTTGGGGAGCTGTTGGAACATAACTTAAAATGTTACTCTGAAAATCATGTCTTCTCTAATGAACAACAAATTCTTTTTAATTTTAATAATAGCAAATAATTAATTAATGAAGAATTTATTACATCTATTTGAAAATCAGAATATAATACTATAATACAAATCACACTTAGTGTGAAGTTAGAATTAGCTGACATTCGTTTAGAGACAAAAGAAATAATTCTTTTGTGTTTACAGATTTAGAAAATCGCCATGTCTTGTAGTCTATGTGAAAGCCTCATTGCTATAACTATGTGATTTATCTGAATTACTAACGATAACAGAGCTAATATTTTAAACAAAAATATTTTGCCAGTGAAAGTTCTGATTTAAATAAGCAGATCTTAATCATTAAGATTTCTCATAATTATTGTAAAAAAAAAAAAATTTGTGCTTACAATAGTAAAATAAACTCTTAACATTTGTTGCCGCTGCTTAGTCTATGGTTTAAACCAGGGGTCTCATAACTACGGCCCGCGGGCCGGATGCGGCCCGCGATGTCCTCTCATCCGGCCCTCGGAAATCCCTTTGTCCACAGAAAAAACGTTTGTTGGTGATGGCTGAGGAACTTTGCCCAGAAAAATCAAAGACACGGCTGGAACTAACTGGCCCCCGAACTGAAATTTGATAGTTAATGCGGCCCTCGGACAGAAAAGTTTGGAGACCCCTGGTTTAAACAAATTACTATCTTTGTCAGAAGTAATTATTGTTAAACAAATAAATTGTATTAAATTAAAACACAACAATCGGCACAGCTGGAAAATGACAATGACTAAAAATCAATGGCACACACACATAGTAATAGTATGGAGATTAAGAAACTGAAACTGCATATTCACAGACTGCTTTAAACTTATGACACTGCATCCAACAAAATATCAACCCAAGATATCAACAGCAAATAATGTGAGGATGAGAGACAATACTGCATGCAGGGAGAGATTGAAACAAGGCAAAGATGCCTACTTTCTGTCCTTTCCACCACTCCAAGGAAACAACCTTTGGTGTGGCTGTGTAGGAGGAATCAGACCAGCTTCCTGTGCTGCTTTCCTTTCAAAGAATGAACTCAGTATTGCTATTTTGGAGAAAGAAGGACCAGAAGATTTTTTCTTTCCACCAGCAATTTTAGCACCATCTGTTGAAGTAAGTGGGGCTGATTTGACTTTTTGCTGAGTTCTTTTGGCATCTGGTATGAGAATAATTGGAGAGACACCAGGCACAGCACCAACACTCTTTGGACCAGACAAGCCCAAAGTTGGCTCTTGTTTTTTTTTCTGGCTGCGGCGATCTAAAGTCATACTGACGGTCAAACTCTTGACAAATTCTGGACCACCTGGACTCACTGGCAGGCGCATGGCCTGAGAAGCAGACTCCCCAATGATGGGAGGGGTAATAACAAGGGTTGGGGGAGCTACTAGGGACTGGTGGATAGGGGCAGTTTTGGTCTTCTTCATTTCCTTTTGCTTGCTAGAAGAACGAAACACAACAATTGAAAAAAATACCATTAAAACTTTTAAAAACATTAGATAAAAGTGGTCTTCAAAACACTACAATTTCCCCCCCAATCAATGATTAAAATTATATATAAAGTGTGGAATCTACAAAATCTACAAACTAAAAATGTAGTGTGCATAAAGCTACAGTGACATCTCATAAAGCTGCAGCAAAATATTAACTTTTATTCTTTTCTTTTATACTTTATTTATTGTAACATTTATATTTTCTAACCTCTGAAAATAGTTTATCCAAATGAATGCATTTAGACAAAAAAACATGTTGTTAAATTAATCATACTTAATAATATTAACATTTTGGACCATTTTCTCCAGTCTTTATATACCATTGGTTCTTTAACAGTAAATTCGTTGATATCTTTAACAGTTAAATGTGATGGATTATGATTTTTTTTCAAGAATGAAAAAGGATCACTGTATCAAATATAAAGTTTTTCATGTTTCTTTCACTTAACATTTTCTTTGTAAAATGTACTGAAATTAGAATTATTTGAAGTGTAAAATAAATATAACAGATATTATAAATATATGAATATATGCATTGCTGCAATTAATATTTCAAGTCTTATTCACCAAAGTACTTATGTTAATGTAATATTTTTTTAAAGAACTCATCTCTACTGAAATAATGGATGTCAATATGAATGTAAAAGTAAAAGCTTTACAGATTTATTTACATTTAAATTATTCTTACTGCTACTAAATTTTACTTCTATTTAAACATTTTAATAAATGAAATTAAATAGATACATGTAAATAATGTTCAAGGTAAAGGAAAAAAAACAGTACTTGAATGTAAAAATTTGAGAGCTTTTGTAAACAGACAGACAGCATGCAAATAAAATAAAGTTTACAGACTACATTTGTGTATGTTTTTATGCAATTTTAAAGTGTAGAGTACAAATGTTTTCTTTTTTAGAGAAGTTGGATAGGAACATCAGAACTGTTCAAGAAATTAAATAATAGGATTTCTTGACAATGGTCATGAAAAATATTCTATATTCTATGCCTAAAAATGGAGAGGGGGGGAAAGGAAGTTGTTTTCTTTTTTTTAAAGGTTTGAAACCGTAGTAATATTTTTGTTGCTAGCTTTAAATTATTTAAAGTTTTAAAAATCAAACAATCCGATCTAAACAAACAGTAGATGTATTGCTGTAATATATGCACAGAATAAAATTAAAAATAAGTGCAACCAAAGAAGATAAGAAAATTTCAAGAACACGGAAATAAAATGATTATACACAGTGGATAAGAAACATCACAAAGGTAATTATATTAAAATTGTGTGATGTTTTTATGAATGCAATTTTTAGAGAAGATACAAGAAATTACCAACCGTGGGGATAGCATGAGAGGCTCCAAGTGAGGTTTGCCACTTGTGATATTACTCGATGGTGCAGACTGTTTTCGTAAGTTATTAGTCTGGGCGGCTGTTGCCTCTTGCTGTTGCAACTTTCTCAGTCGCCGCTCCACCAGCAAATAATATGTGGCGGCAATGTGATCATAAGCATCTCTTTCCAAGGACCTGTAGGTAGAGTTTTTTCATAAGTTCACACATCTAAACAACAATAATTAATTTATAAAACATTATTAAAAATCATTTTTTCATAATGAAATCTGTCCCAAAGAAAATCACTTACTGAAATATCTCTTCTCTTGTGCATATCTTGCCTTCAACCATTTTCTGTACAACATAATTGTGATCCTCTTCAGAGACATGCTCTCTTGACAAAAGAGGCAAATTGATTCGTACATTAGTTGATGAGCTTTCACTGGCCAACCATGGATCTTGCTCTATATCCTCCAAGTTGATACGCTGTGATGGCTCTCTGACAAGCATTTTTGTAATTAATCTGAAATTCATTTTAAAATAACAGGTTTTAATGCTGTAAGTTATTGTAAATTGCTTAAATATTTAAATGTAATATCACTGTTTCCTCCTTCAAAACATCATGCCGTACAACCATGTCCCCTGCCTCCCACAGTGAATTTGCCAATGATGATCCAGTACGGTCTCTGATGTCATCCAGCCATCTTTTCTTTTACCTCCTTCACCTTTTCCTTCTGACACTCTGCCTTGCATGACTGTCTTTGAAAAGCAGTGGGCTCAAGTCAAATGTCCTACCCATCTGAGCTTTAGCGCCCAGACAATGCTAAGCAATCAGCAAATATTCAAAAGGACTGCATATTTATAATGCTTGTGATCCTATATGAAATCCCTAAAGTCTGCCCAAACATCTCATTTCTAGGTCCTAATCCATCTCTGGAGGTCTGCATTGAGTGTCCATGCTTAGCAACTGCATAAGTTTAACTTGGTCATAAGAGATGTCTTTCTGTTATGCCCCATGTTTTTTTAGCTTATCAAGGGCTGCAGTCATCTGAGTAATCCTTGTGAGAATTCCTTTTTTACATCCCGTCAATAAGATGGCGTAAAGCTACTTGAAGTAGGGGACTTTCTCTAGTATGTTCTTTTACCAGTATATCTATCTTTGAATTATATCTTAAAATAAGATGTACATCTATTGAAAATCTAAATACATACTTGCGGCAAAGATCTGAAACATGGATTGGTATCTGATATTTGCAATCCATAATCATGGTCAGAGTTTCGCTGTCATTTGCTTCTTGAAATGGTGCTCGACCAGCAACAAGCATGAAGAGTATTACACCTAAGCTCCAAACATCTGAATAAATAAAGAGATAGCAAGACCGATGATTATACTTGAAAAGTTAAAAGCTCCAAAGAAAAGAAGTTGAATAAGGCAAAGAAACTGATTTGCATTGCATATGCTCCCAATAGCACCCTCTACTAGTACTAGTTACTTTCTTTTACCCACGGTACAACAAAGTACCTTTCATTTTTTTTTAAACTGTGATTATCTTTGTTTTCACAAATCCAAGCATAACAATCTTTAACCCTTTATTTACGGAATTAGGTTCTGAATGAAATTTTTACTTAAATAATGTGTTATCATATTGCTTTTGGCACATTTAAAGCATATGTCAAAGGAAATTTCGTTTCGGAAATTTTTAGGGGCCCAAACATATATTGGTACTTATAAGTACCGTCAGTAATCTAGGACATTTTTTCCCAAAAAAAATTATTTACAAAACAGGAACAAACGATACAACTTATTAACTAATAACATGGCAATCATTATAACAATGATTTTTTGTAATTTTCACACATAAATACAGCACAAAAGTATATTTTGAGTACGATTTTTACTGGATTTTCTATCGGAACACATCTTAGACCTATAACACAGCAAAAGTTGTCGACATATCATGCTCCCTCATTCTCGTCTGTGGTATTTCTGGTGTAGCTACGGTTGCCGGACTGAACATGCTTTTTATGGAAGCTTCTAATAGCTATTACATTAATTACAATGAGCCGCATAAACAAACAAAAGCCTAGTCATTCAGTACACAACTACTAGTAATACTAGTATAATTGTAGCCTACTAGAATGTTATGACAAGTCTTCACTACAGTGCAAAGTTCATAAATAGAAGTGAGATCAATGTGTTTAGGATAGCCATAGTGGCCTGTTTTCTGTTAACCGATTAAAATTTACCTTATAGATCTATACTATATGCAGAAGTATGGACTATTACTAGTCTACAGATATACATTACGTAAATGCTAGTTATTGTAGGCAAGACAGTTTATTGCAGTAAATATAACTAACAAATTAAATCTTACAACTAGCACTAGGCTATGGTATACAAATGAAGTATACTAAAGCTTGTAAACGAGCCTGCAACTGCTATATTTATTCTTGTTATTTTTTTACTACTAGAAATTAACATGTAATTACAATATTTCTTAAGTAAACCATATGCAAATCTTCTTATAAATGTGTTAATATCACTTTTTGAGTACATTTCGATAATTAATTATCAAGACAATATTTATGTAACTCCACATAAAAAATCTGCCATTTCCTAAAAATCCTAAAAAAATGACCTGACGGTACTTATAAGTCCACTTGTAAACATTGATCTAATACATAGACAATTTGATTAAAATTGTATAACTAGAAGTTAAACGTGTTTGCCTGAGTATTGAAGGTGCCAATAAAAAATATTTCGGGTTGAAAACTTGAAAAATCAGGTAAAACAAAGGGAAATCAAGAACGTGTGTGAGAACTGTACAGAAAATTTGTGAACTACCAATATAGCAAGACATTGAAAATGGCGCCACACAAGTAATTTTCAAAAAACATCGATCCCTTCAACTACCGGCAACTCAGGGGAGATAATACTATACTATTAGTTACTTCAATAATTTTTAAAATTCGTATTAAATTAAAAATAATACAGGCGCTTAATTAAAGTGGTACTTATAAGTACCGTCAGTAGATAAAGGGTTAACATATAATTGTGCTTTTTAATGAGGTATGTCTTACAAGTGTACTATAATATACAATTTGATGTGTTAAATTTGAAATGTAGAAATCCACACTGACAACCCCCCCCCCTCACAGTTTACTGGTGATAATAAAAGCAATTTTTTACCCCTCCACCTTTCAATCATGTAGACATGGAACAGCTGATCATAATCAAGTTTGACAAATATCAAACATGTAGTCAAAATCATTTTATATTTTCACAAATATTTACATTGAATTAATTCTATACTTGCTAAAACAGGCTTAGTTTTGTACATTTTAGATGATTAGTTTGGATTTAGCATTTTTATTTCATTTTCCCGAATAAAATACAATAGACTAAAAAAATCCATGTGAAATCTTAATAAAATAATCTAAAGGTTAAAAAAAATCAACTTAACTTAAGTCCTATTTCTAAAGGAAAAACTTTAAATGTTTTTGCTTTAAAAAAACTTCATTAAAAAACGTTTTAATAATAAGCTTTTATGTAATAATGCACTAATTACCTTTACTAATATTTAGGAAGAGACCTACGCTTTTCTTTATAGTTATTTAAATAGTAGTGTATAATTTTTCTCTGTTTTAGTGCATTATTACATAAAAGATTGTTATTAAAACGTTTTTTTATGAAATTTTTTTTTTACTTTACATGTTTTTATTTACAATAGATTTACATGACTAAAAACCATTGTGCGCCTATTGAACGTGATGAATCGTGTGGAGTAGTTGGATAGAACTGCCTACTAATTTGGTCAAAATTTTAATTAATTCATACAAAATTAATTAGGCATCCAATTAAGTAAAATTAAATGTCATTTTGCATTGTCTTCATGTCTTGACCTACGATCCAACTACGAACCGTATCTGTCAGTTACAAGTGCCAGTAATTTCGCTCGGACGACAGGCAGAGGAAGTGAGTTAAATTAAAGCTTGTAAAAATGACATAATGGTGGAAAAACAGCTAGTACCGTTTAATCATAGATCAATTTGTAATGCCATTGATGAATTAAATAACATAACCTTTTTCCATTTACTAGTTTAGTTTATTAATACTCAGCAGAAAACAATTCTTTCTTTATAGCTTTTTAAGCATTTCCACTTTAAAAAATTGGTGGGAAAATCTTGGTAACTATGACAATGGCGGCCATCTTGAAAAATTAACCCCTTCCTAGGTTTTCCACCATTCATAAAATATTATATTTTTAAGCCCAATAAACAATGAATTCATAATATGCTTCCATATTTTGGGGTACTCAGCTAAAAAATTTAAGTGCATATCTTCAAAATAATTTATTATAAATTTTCAAAATTTGTGTCCCTTTAAAACAATTCTTCTTCATTCTTAATTAAGTATATGATAAAGGATTTAAACAACAAGCCCAACTTTGTGTATGAACTGGACTGTGGTCTTCAGTTTTTAATGGACCCACAATTTGATAATTCAGAAAAAATTAGTTTCAATTTAGATAACGACTATAATACACCCAGCTTGTCCGCAAACCGAAAGATAGAAGTAAACATAGAGGACATTTAGGAGGGGCTTCTTAACCATTACTAATTAAAATATAATAATCAGTAAACAGTACATTCAGTGTATAAAATAAATAAAAGGCTGTATTTAAAATATACCGCATTGCACTTTTATGCTAATTATATAATTATTTTTTTTCCATATCAAAACAAACTAATAAAAAGTATTTTTTTCCCTGATGTGATGTTTTTTAAGGGAAGTAATATTTTGTGTGATCTATCAAGGAAAGTAATTGGCACTAAAGGAACAAAACAAAAAATTTCAGACACAATTCCAATTTTTGTGAAGGGTGATACATTTTCTTTGATTTTGTTGATTCCACATAACGTTATTTAAAATGATAAGTTTGGAAAATGAAACTTGTTTTAAGAAACCATTACCCTAATATTTAAAAATTTTAATCATTAATTTAGATAATAAACGTTTTAAGAATATTACCCTATGGCAATCAAGTCGAGTTTTTTACTATATGCATGTGTACCACAGGTCTGTCTGCTGTCACAGAGCCACGGAGTCCCTTTCAACTTTATATATTTGACTCAAGCAACATAACAAGTTAAGAGAGCACTTACTTATATGATTGGCACTAAGACATTTTACTGTATAAAAATCAAGGTATAAATAATAGGCTATTAAAAATAGAATCTAGCCTAAGGCTGGGGAGGGCAAAATAATAGTAACGCTCAGGTCTTGCGCAGCACAAAAAGATTATGAAACGCTACTACAATATATTATGAGATTGTTTTAAAAGGCTTACCCCAAAAGGCCAGACCTTCCCCTAAAAAATGATGCACCACTTGCATAATACTACTAGAGTACCACCACTCAAATTTGCTATGTTTGTTTTATAACACTGGTTTTCTTTAATTTTCTGAGTTTAGACAATATTGATTGTGGGTTTTTCTTTAGGCCTATTATTTTTTTTTAATTTACATTTTTTAACATCATAGAATAACAGCTAAAATTCAGTTTATAGGCATTATAGCATTTATTTTAAAAAGCTTTATAATTTAACGAGCCGGCCCGCGGCATAATATACGCTGCTATTTAGTTGTTGTTTTTTCTACTTTTCAGTAATTCATAATTTGTGAATTCGACAGTACCAACACTGACACTGAAAATATTTCTTTAAAACACTATAAGTAGCTCGTTAAGGACCATAACTTCCCCTTCCTTCCCCCCCCCCCTCCTTAAAACAACAAAAGAAATTACTTTCTTGTTAAAATTGTAGATCTAGAATCTATGTAGTGTAGCAGCTAGATTTACTTACCAACAGCCGGAGGATCATAAGAATCTCCAAGTAGAATTTCAGGTGCAGAATATGCTAATGATCCACACGAAGTTTCCAATTTTTTACCAGGTGCAAAAACATTACTAAAACCGAAGTCTGTCAATTTGACAAGACCTAATTTATTAAAAAATACTACATTTTCTGGTTTTAAATCTCTGTGGACAACATGAAGTCGATGACAGTACAATATAGCTTCTACTATCTGACGAAAATACTTCTTTGCTAATTTCTCATCTAACCCAGCATCATGTTTCATAATGTAATCATACATGTCCCCGTCTCCCAGTTCTAGTATCAAGTATAACTTGGTTTGTGTATCGATAACTTCATACAGTCGAACTACATTTGGATGTTGTACCAACTTCATGCATCTTACTTCTTGAAATAAATGGGATCGTGAGATGTCATCAAGTTTTTGCTTATCGATGACTTTAACTGCCACTTTTTCTCCCGTAAAAACATGCCTAGCAAGTTTAACAACAGCGAAATGACCCTGTCCGATTGTCTCTTCAAGATCGTACAGCCCGGCAATTTTGCCGTCGTAACCACTTTTCTTTTTCCCCGCCATTCCATGTGGCGGTGGAGGCTTTAAACTAAAATTTACTTAGCTAAAACATCATGGTGTTTAATAATTACTCCAGGGAAAAATTCAAAACAGTGGTATCCATCGTAGTTAACTATGCTGGCTGCCATTATTAACTGTGCGCACCGAAGTTACGCATGACGTATTAGTCATGTGATCATAATTTCCTGAATGAACTACTAGTAGTCTAGGCTTGCTTAACGCAGCGTTTGCTGAATATTATTTTTAAAAATCATCCGTTTTAAATGTATTACTTTAGCTTACAAATCTTAACTTATCAAATTTATTGGCTTAATTCGTTTTTCACCCATTATATTTTAAAATGCTCTTGGCTCTTGTTACACCTTTTTCATGGCAAAAAGTGGTGCTTCAGTGCAGGCTAAAATATATTAAGGCTTCTAGATCTACTATATCTTATTCTGCTTTTTAAATTACTAGACCAGTCAACTACTCTATATTGGGCTACAAGAATCCCTGTATTAACTGAGGTAGTGATTTTTCTTAGGTGTATTAAGTAAAGTTAAACAGCACAAAACAAAAAAGTAGACAGATTGAAAATTTTATTTACAGAGACATTGTATAAATGAAATGACAATTTTATTTTAAAATCAGCAATAAATACATAATACACAAAATATCTGTACAGTAAACATTACTGGTATCCTACAAAACAAGTGTTAAATACTTTCAACAAATTATCACTTTTCACATTAAAAAAAGTGTTACTAGAAACAATTTTGCTCTTAAGCTGAATAAATCACAAAATAAAGATTTCTTAAAAAGTTGTAATGATTGTGTTTATAATATTGTTACATTATAACAACACTGGACCACTTAGCTTAAAAAATAGACAATATAACAATTAAAAGTACACATGGTAAAAAACTTAAAAGGCATATCTTGTTCTTATGTCTTCCAATTTTTTGGAAACCTGGGGAAAAGAATTTATTACATAAGACAATATTCATTTTAACCAAAGGTTTAATCAATTATTTTTTTAAATATAAGATTTAAACTGACAAACTAATGCAGCAAAAAAAAAAAAAAAAAAAAATTATAAACAAATGTACCTTTTTATTAACATTTAACATTTTATTAACATTGAGTTATCATACTTAGTTTATAAAAATGACATTATATTAAATTGGTACCATGAGTAAATATCTAGTTTCCCAAATTACCTCATTAGCACTGCGATCTTCTAATTCTTCAGCTATGGATTTTTGTTTACTAGGTTCCATTGAATTAAAAACTTCACACAAATCGCCATCAATGACATTCTAGAAAAATAAGTTGAATATAAAGAAATAAAATAATTTTGCTTGTCAACCGTAAGTAGACTGGTACATTAAGAATTTGAAGCAAAAAAGATTAACATACCTGCCAATGCTACTTTTGTTAAGCCAAAATAAATAAAAACCCTTACAATGCACTTAATATACACATCAAATATGAGCCTAGATCTAGTTTAGTTATACGTATCTAACCTACTACAACATAATTTCAGCTTACAAATAATGATAAAACTATCTTTAGCTGTTACATTAACAGAGGTTAATGTTACGATGATTTTGAAAGCTTTTGAATTGATTTAGTTTTCCATATTTTAATGAATGAACAATTTACGATAAATTCTAAAAAAGCAATTTACTATAAATTCTAAAAGAATGATTATGTATTCCCTTCACTGTTTTATAAATTACACAAAATACTTTTAATTAATATGCCGAGTTAATTGCAAAGACTTCCCTCATTTTGACAGCTGACATTTTGCAAATGATAAACAAATGTTATAAGGAAACAGGAGCGAATGGCAAAAGTAAATAGGATTTTCTCAGCCCTGTCAAACTGATTACATTTTTCAATCAGCATAACAACCTTCAACATAGGTTGAATAGCGGAAAGAGAAATTTTTTTTGTAAATTAGCAAAATTATTATTATGCTATACAGAAAGGCACTTAGATAAAAAATACATCAACAATTAGCTTACAGAAAAATTGCTTACCTTGACAGGAAAATAGTAAGATCTAAATGCCAGATGGTCTCTTCCACAAAGTGAAGGATACTCTTGTCTCATGTACATTTCCAAATGTTGAAAAAAATCTTGATCCTACAAGAATATTGGCAATTTTAAAAATAGTTTCCCTTTCTTAAAATATTTTTATTTTTAACCAACGTATTCATTATGAGACAAAAATAACTTGCTATTATTTATCAATATAAACTTAAGTACCTCATGAGATGTAAATGGCACTAACATGCCAACACTGCCTGATAATGTTGTATAAACTAAAGATTCTGAACCTCCTGGAATTAGTGTTGCTTTCTGCAAAGATGTTACAACTTCTCCCACATGAAAATTTGCTATGATGTCTGCCTATTAAAAAATTACAGAATATCATAGGTCTTTGAGAAAAATTCATCACAAGAAACTAAAATGGTTGATCTTACGAGATTAACTTATGATTTTATTAAAACAATTTGGTAACAAACTAATCAAAAACAATTTGGTAACAAACTAATCACCAATTTATTGTAAAAGGTTACCTTCTGAGAAGCACCATTTAATAATCCTCTATCCCATAGGGCTTTATTTCCAGTAGGATCTTCATCAACATCATCACTCACTTCAGACGGTAATCTGATCTATAAAATTTTTAAAAATTTTGACAATTTATTTTGTTACTTTTGATTGGCAGTAATCAAGTCACACAAAAATCAGGTTGACACTTACTACAGTTATATTACCAAACTTGTCAGCACCAGCAACAGTGTTATAATCAAGCATAAAGGAACAAGTAATCCAACGGGGGTTAGTGTCATCACAAAAGACAATGAGCTGGTTTTCAGGTCTTCGATATCGTACAAAATGGAAACTTTCTTGAACATCACCAACTATTACTCTGTTGCCCATTGCATGAATGCTAACAACAAAGTTAGGAATATGCTGAGGAAATAAATTATGTGAGTATTAAATTATCAAACATGTTATTTTTAACATAAAAAAATGTTTTCTGACTTTACTATGAAAGCAGTAAATTGAATGTTGTTAATTACTGTGGATCAGTCAATATATATCTGATAATCACAATCTTAATTCAGGTGAAACACGGTAAAACATCATTTCCACAGTAAGGTTTGCATACTCTTGATTAATATAATAGTACCTTGTTTTCACATTTTCGTAACAATTTCTTTTTTCCAAGATCATATATCCTTAAAAACTTTCCAACACCAATGAGAACACGTCCTTGAAAGGGGGTTATAGCGCCGGGAATGTCTTCAACAGGTGTCTTGTGAAGTAGTTCAAGTTTTGTTCCATTTTCAGTTACCTGCAAGTTTAGTCAAATATGTTATGAAAACACTACCAACTATTCAAATTACTGAAACTATATTGTAATAGTTCCTGTGTTAAATGCTGTATTATATTTACAGTACAAATTAAAAAGTGGTCTTAATGTAAAGTAAGTTAATTAATATCTTAAATAATGTAATGCTTTTGTGTGGATCAGACAAGGTATAACTTAATCATTTGAATTCAGGTGAAACACGGAAAGGCATCAAGTCCACAATTAAAATAATAAAACGGGAAACAATTAAAATTGACTATAACCACCTGGTATGTAAGAAGCTCTCCCCCAGTTACAGACCGTGGATTGAGAACCAAATCCTTAGCAATTCCAACAATCAGTATTGTGTCATCTGGTCTGCAGGAAAATTTGACTAAAGCAACACTGAAATAGGATAAAATACTTTAAGTTAAAAAGATATTTATTGACATTCTTAGAAAACTTAAATATCCAATCTAGCAACAATCATAAAATAAGGTGTTATAAATCACTTAAATCCATAATCTGTAGTACTTACCTATGAGCAGCCTCGTTCTGATCTAAAGAGATTTTCTCAAGATTTTCACCAGTAATAGGATTTATAATGCGAACAACAGATGCCCACATTCCCAAACCAGCTTTAGGAGCTCCAAAAATAGTTTCTGGACGATCTTCATTTAAAAACTGAGCAGCCATTTCTGCAGCCAATTCACGTTCATCTTCATCTGCTGCCTCAATTAATTCCTTTATTACCACAAAAACCATGTTAAGTTAAATTTGTATAAAACCATGAAGCCTTTAAGTAAAAACATAACAGGTAACAATATGTAATCAAATCAGAAAATTGTACCAGAGATTGTCTTCATTGAGACATTCAGATGAGAGAAAGTTGTTCATCATGTTTGATTACACACATTTTTTTTTAAATACTTCAAAGAGGCACTTACTTCTGCCATGTGTTGTTTTCTTAGTTGCTTTGTTTCCTCTGTATAAGCATTATGGTCTGTTTCAATTATTATCAGATTATTTGATTCAGGGTGAATGACGAATTTACGAGGAGTGTATTGCAACGGCCAAGCAACTTGGTTAAATACGGCCCCTAATTTTTCCAATGCCAAAATCCTGAAAAATGACAATTTAATTGTCTTGTATGACTTTGATAACATTAAAACTCAAAATGATCCAGGTGCAACAGACTTAATTGTGCAGTGTAGCAAATGTTTTATTTTAGGGTTGCTAGGCCACATATACATCAAAACTTCTTGCAACCATGTAAAATGCAGGGTTCGTAAGACTTTTTGAAAATGAAATTCCCTACTATTTGGGAAAAATTCCAAACTTTATACAGATGTTTTAGCGACTAATTTATAAAATGATGCAACATTTGTACTCTAAATTACATACAGTATAATGACATTTATTTTAGGCAATAAAGGTAATATTTATATTGGACTTTCTATAGCCTAGTTGACAAACAATAACTTTACTAAGGCTGCCTACCCCACTCCCCTCTAAAAAAATTTAAAATGATTAAAATGATTGGACATTTAACTTATGTGATCTGTTCATTATCTAATTGCTTTGTGTTTTGAATTAATTACTTAAGAATTATAATAAAGTAATTTACTAACTGAGGTCTGCTCGTTGAGTATCTAGAGACTTATTTACCCTAGGTCCCAGATTTAATAAATAGTGTTTTGAAAATTGGATAATTGAACAGAAAAACTGGAAGAAATCTTCAGGCTGTGTAACATTCATTATTTATGCTATAGCTGAGGAAATTCAATCTGCAATAAAAAAATTGCCAGTATTCCTTCCCCCCCCCCCCCCCACACAAAAACATGGAGTGAAGGGGTCACTGAGGTCATAGTAGTCTAGAATTGAGTATGCCTGTTACATCAGTGTGAACTGTGTTGTGATTTTTTCCCCAAGCCCCACCCCTAGCCAAGCAGTAACAAATACCTACTTTTGGGCACACTGTGAATTCACACAAGTGATAGTAGTTACATGGAAAAGCGGGTTAGTCAAGCCCTAATTGTCAGCATTTGCCTAAGCTTTCAAATACTGTTTAACGGAAGGTGGATTAAAAGTACAGATTGATAAATTATACCTTAACTACCTCCCCCATAATTTTCTGCTATGACTGCCGGCCTGCAAAGTCAGACAAACTTAATGAAAAATAGCAGGTAAAATCAAGAGCTTAATAATTGGGTTTATTCTGTGATACAGCGAAAATGTCATAACACAAATTGGAGTAAATCCACGAAAGAATAGCCTTTTTGTTAGTCGGAAGCTATGGAATTTGTGGACAAGTTGTTTCTAAAACTAGACAATTTTCAGAATAAATCCTGGACTTTCTAGACTGCTTACAAACCCTGTATACATTAATTTGTGGATCAGTTAGATTATGTTGTAATCTTTTTTAAACTCAGGTGAAACACGGTAAACATCATATCCACCAATCAGTATGTAACCAAATTTTTTCAAAATTATTACTTCTTAATATACAGTACCTTAAAGTATTTGTAGAAATAGCAACAATGCCCTCCGGACATTGTTCGGATGCAAAACCAGAAGCATATTCTAGTGTCTCATAGGATAACGGCGTCAAGTGAAATCTACTTTGGTATGTATAACTCAGCCATGTACGACTGGACATAGCAAGAACCTAAAAAGTAAAATTAGTTAATTAAAGAATATACTAGGCCTAAAAGTTATTTACAAAAGAAACTATTTTGATACGATTTTAACAACTCAGTTACGGAAGACGCATGGAAACAAGAAGTTAAGCTGGTGACTATATTTCAATTTTTATAGATGGCTAAAGCGTAAACAGGATGCAAAAATAAAAAAAAACTACAGGCTAACTTATACAATTACACTACTCTACAATATATGTTTATACTTACAGCTTCAGAGCCTTGCATTGATATTCTAAACAGCTTAACAGGTCTTGATCCTAGATAACGTGTTCTAGTATCAGACAGATCCCCTGTAACTGTGTCTAGTACAGTTCGAAGTAATACACCATTCTAATAAAAAATGTTACAGAAAAATTATGAAAAGCCAATACAAATAAAAATAATTAAAAAATCATTTGTTTTTTTTTTAAATTTATACCATTAATAGCATTTTTAAATAGCATTTTCGTACCTGAAGGCCTATGTTAAGATAGATTCCACCAGCAGTAGCAGTCTCTCCAGTTTCTTCTTTTGCTTCAGTTCCTCCCATTTCTATAATGCAAAGTGATTCAGGTGGTGCAGGAAGGGCTTGCATACTCAGAGGTGATAAACAATCCTTTGATATAAAAAAGTCAAGAAAAAAATAATTAACTACAATATTTCTAAAATATAAGTACAAATGTATATCAACTCATCAACTCCTTTGCTACATGATGAAACTGCCATTACTGCCTTATGACCTGTCAAGATTCTATCACATTATCATGCAAAAACTGCATCTATATTATTTATGCTTGATAAATATAGCACAAGAATGAGCAAGATTTTTACCTTAAAAAAAAAGTGTTTCACACTGATCAAGAAAGAAAATTAAGCTATTATAATTAGCTCAGAATCCGCTGTAGAGTTAATGTTTAAAATTATTACTAAGGCACTCTGAGACAGCTTTAGACCACATTATACTTTAGGCTCATCTTGCCTAAGTAATAAATAATTCTAGAAAAACTAAATTTTCTTTGTATTTGAACCAGAGGTACCGCTTCATCTTAAATCTCCATGCCCTGAGATACCGATAAAGCTGTATTTAACACCTTACCCCAGATTGGCAGTCTGTATATAAAATTGCACTATTTAAAAAAGTGCGTAACTGGTATTGTTAGACTTGTGTGTTCCTGTCATGGCTGCGCCCATAACCAAATTTTTTGTTGTTTATTATTTACAACTTTTACAATGGAAAGACGATTTGAAAATTCTGAAACCGGCATTCTACCTAAGTCTACATCTACCTATGTCTAAAAGAAGGGTCTACCCACAAAGATGACCGGATTATCAAGTCAAAATATTAGATATTTAATGTATAAGTGTTAATTAAAATAATTAAAATAATGGTGTTATATTCAGTTTTATTTTATTATTGTGAGTCTGTTGTGTGTACATTTAACTCAGGAGCATGGGAATTTTAGGTTCAGGAGCTAAGGGGTTAATCAAGAAATGTTTACAATATTTTCAAACAAAAGTGGTTATTGGTTGTCATTCTTAGTTTAGGATCTGGGGAAGCTTTCTTAAATAGGATTTAGTAGACTCATTAGGATAATGAAGGAGATAAAAAAAAAATTTCAGATAAAATTTGTACAATTTTAAATAAACTAAAGATTTTCTAAATAAAAATGTGTAGCAACTTACATTTGGATCCAGGGAAATAATTCTAACAGTGTTATCAGAAAGGCCAACAGCAAGAAACCTAGATCTCAGCTCTCCAGCTGGAACTCTTCCAAGAGCCATGCATACAACGTTGCTAGACATCTCTTTTCTTTCTGTATATTCATTCAGTTGCCCTGTCTACAATAAAGAATAAATCATTGAAATGAACAGCTTTATCTTTTAGAGTATGAATTAACTAAAGGTGAAAATGTACTAACATTGCATTATTTAGTTCATTGATGTGTAAATTACTAAAAACCTATCAGTTGCCACAGAAAGGACAACACAGGAAAATTCATTATTATAAATATGTAGATCTATATATATATATATATACATACCGGATCCATCTCAAAATACACCAGCTCTCCACCAGTCAATGCAATCACAACTTGTCTCTGGTTTACAGCACACTTAACAATATTCTTTTTACCAGGGGTTTTCCATTCATTTACACGCTTATCTGAACGGATATGGCGAATACCCTCAGGATAAATCTGTGAAATACAAAGAAAAAATTCAGAATCTTGAATTAGTGAAAGATTAAGAAGCAGTATAAAATTTTCAGGAGAATGCAATTCCTAATCGTGGCCTTTACCTGCACAAGAGCATCATCTCCAAGTTGAGAACTTGAAATGGTAGGAGTGGTTCCAAGAAATCCAGAATCTGTAACTTCTTCTACTGTTTCACCAATGGACAATACTAGCGTAGCATTCATGAAGGATACAATAATGTATGCATCATAGTCATCTGCAAAACAGTAAAGAAGACCTCATACAATGTTGAATAGTTCTTTGTTAATAACTATTTTTAATATTTTTCTTAATAATTCTTAAATATTTTTCTTAACTTAAGCAGTTTTAATTAGCTATCAACCATATTAGATATATTTTGGTGCAATGGTCATGGTAGAGACTAACACCAATGAATATTTAAACTTTTTATTTTATGTCTGGTCACTTTTAAGTTTATAATATGTATTGTAGATAAATAACAGATACTTTCTACAATATTTAAATGAATTGCCTTCTATAAATAAGAAATCTTACACCTTATGATCAAAACATAGGTGCTTATCTAGTATTTCTCTCCTCCATTGACGGCAATGACCGACTGTCTTTTTTTTTTTTAAAAACTATATAGTGTTCATTAACTCTTTAAGACCGTAACGACGCTCTCAGCGGTTGGTCCGCCGGCCTGCCATACCGTAACGACGCTCCCAGCGTCCGATAAAATTTTCTCTGTTTAATTCATTGTTTTTCAGAATCCAAGTTTTTAATCGTAGATCTAGGTCATGATAACGCTAGAGCGGCCATTTTTCGTTGTATTTACTTCTTGTAGTTTTCTCGTTAGATCGATTTTGTATTTTATATAATTTTTTTGTAAAACAACTCGAAAAACGGCATTTTTTAACACTGCGGAATGCCGTTCAGCGGCCGCGCCTAAATGTTTATGTCACCGCATTATAAAATTAACGAAAATTAAAGTATTTATACTAAGACTAATCCGATCCATGATTTTTTGTAGATAAATGGACGTACCTTCGTTTTCTATGAATAAGAACTCATGAAAAGTTATTCTTATTATTAATTTTCCCGACAGACGCGTAATTTTTGCACCAAAAAATCAACTCTTTATTGTTTCTTCTTTAAATCTAATTAATTATCAATTCTTCAATAAATAAATAATTCCTTAAAGTTTATATCAGTGTGTAGGGTATTCAATTACGATTAATTTTTATCAATAATGTGTGGGGTTTAAATTAAAGGGTAAAAAGATATGGGTCATTTAGCCGCAGGGGTGCTGAAAAAAATGAGGGAAAAAATAATTCCGGTAAAATGTGAAAATAATTACGGGCTTAAAGAGTTAATTATCTTATATAAAATTATTTGTGTTCTCCAAAGAAAAAAGATGAGTGCTGGTAAAAAAAAAACACCTTTATTTATACTTAAAAAGGTTATTTGAACTAATATTAGTAACTGTTACACAAAGTTTTTAATGACAAAATTACAGAAAGATCTAATTTCAATCTGCTGCCAGTAACTTTTTATACATTAGAGGGGGGAAGTCTGGCCACTAACAATTGTTTGAGAGATTCTCTTGAAAATTAAAGACTTCAGGGTCTGTTTTCAATTGTATTTTTGAATGTATGAGCAGGAGTTCCAGAGTGATGTAATTGCTTTTGTGATGATCAACTTACCTTCAGACTTCTTCACTTAGGAACTTCACCTGAAAAAAGAAAGTAGGCTTGGCGTTGGATTGTGTTCAATCCGGCCAGCCACTTATTAAATCGGCTTGGAAAATTGTGTACATAGTTTAAACTTTAATACAATAACATCAGATCTGGTCATCCCCCTCTTTAAAACTCAGTGCAATAATAAAAATTCAATGAGCACAATTTTTTTACACTGAGTAGATGCCAGTTTTGTTTAAACCTGGCAGATACAAATAGATGAATCTTTGCTTTCGTTTATTAAAAATGTACTAATTCTACCAGCACAAAAATCAAGAACACTATGCCTATTATATTCACACAACCTTACCATCAGTGTGTCGCTTCACTGTCCAGACAGCATTAGGATTACCAGGAAGTTCAGAAACTGCCATTTCTGAAACCTAATAATTTAATTGAAATATAAAAATAAAAGTATGCAGGGTAAAATTTTAACATCAAGTGTATGTAATATTTATTTATCAGAGAGACTTGGATGTTTATTTGTGCAGATGAAAGAAACTTACTTCCAAACCATGTCTAAGAACACGAAGAGTAGATCTAGGTCCTCTGCCACATAGTGTGTACAGCTGTGGCGTATCTTCATTAGCCAAATCAGCTATCTATAAGAAAAGAAATATCTTAGCTATATTACTGGTGCTAATCCCTGCTTAGGACTAAGTTCATTTTTGTCTCACATTTGTGGCTATATTTTTGTCGAAGTTCATGGTACCTGTGTAGTTATGATTGGAGACAGACTATCCATCTCATCAACCATCACTAGATTTTTAAGCTCTCTAGGTGAAAAATGAAATGTATCTCCCTCTTCAAGTGGATTTGCACTACTGAACATTCTTTCACCATCATCATCACCTAAATGTGCTATCTGGTATAAATGACTGAAGGAAAAAAGAGAAAAATATTATTTAATACTTTCATAGTAAGGTACATTTAAAAAGGGCTGTACAAAATCAACAATAACCTAGCTTAAAAAATTAAAGCAAAAATTAAAACTGAAAAAACTTACTGATTTCCAAATTCCGCTGCAACAAACAAAAAACCCGACTTGAGCACGCACATGCTTGTGGCTATTGGAACAGTATCAAAGTATTTCAGACGAATTTCTGTTACCTATAGAAAAATGCATATTGACAATTATAAATTTTGGAAACTGTAGAATTGACTTTAATAATCAAGAATTAATGAAAATATAAACTTGTGTAACAAATTTTTTGCTAATATACTAACCATATCTTCATCAGTCTCGAGCGTGATTTTAAAAATATCTCCTTGTTCAGTTTGAGCCAGAAAGAAAAACATGGACTGCAAAAATAAAAGAAATGTACATCATAGTTACTCATGCAGTAAACAAGCAGTAATTTTTTAATTTGTTGAATACTGACAGGTTCACTTGAGTTAGTTGTTTAAAATGTTTTAGTTATCAGTGTAAAATAAAATCTCTAACCAACATTAAATGTAATGACAAAAGCATCTGAACCACTTGACTGTTTTTACTATTAAGTGCTTTAACAAAATTAAAGCAGTTTAGGTGGAGATTTAGAACATCAGTTTATATTAGCAAAGGATCTGACACTTTAGGTAGTAGAAACATTACTACATCCTATCTATACTTTTCATGATTGTGTATTGTCCATAATGCTTTGTTTTATGCAAGTAAACTATTTTAAAACTTATTGCTCTCACTTTAGTCTTATGTGTTGCACTACAAACAAATATCATTCCCCGCTCAGGATCATCAAGGTCACACTGAAAGTAAAAAGTATAAATAAGTTTAGACACAAAGCAGTAATTTAGGATCAAATCTTCAAATATCGTAGAGGATAAATGTTTCTGAATCCACTAAACATTAACTAACCCGTCTCCTGGGTATTGGACATCTAATATCTGGTTGGTCACCCAAGTTTTTGTAAGTTATGTAGTTTTCTGAACAAATAAGAACTCCACTAGGACCATCATGACCACCAGGAACTGAAAAATATTACACATTTAAAAAACAATTCGTACTATTATTATTGATATCTGTTATGCAATTTACAAAGGTAAAAAAGGTTTGCTGTACCTGATATTAAAAAATTTGCATGCTCTTCAAGTTGTTCAGAGTATTTGCGCACTACATGATTTAAACCAAGATCTAATTCATAGTACGTTAATAGTTGTTGTGTCTTTAAAGCTGCTTCTCCTGTAGGGTCTGTATCAGCTTCCTATGTGAAAAAAAAAACAGCAAACAATTTCTAGTAATGAAACAGAAAACTTGTTAAAAATATTACTAAATAGATCAAATGTGCATCAAAGAAAAACTTTTCATACTAAACTAAATAGAAACCAGCTTTTTTTTTTCCCCCCGGTTATGCTGATTCTTAAAATGTGTAAAAAACATACATTTGCATAAAACAAAAAATTCATGTGGGGAAAAAAATAATTAAAAACAGTCTTTATACCTCATAGTCAATTTCCAAACATGCAAATGTTGGGTTTTCAAATCCAACATCAACACCAACCATGTGATAAACAAGAGTGTTTGATTTATGAGCTTCTAAAGGGGAAGATATTGTCAAACGAGCTTGAGCATCTCTGTTCAAAATGTAGACCAATTTTTGCTTTTCTACAGCACCTAGAAATTAAATTTATTCAATTTTGACCATGAGCTCTAGAAAGGTAACAATTACTATGCATGATTCAATAAGTTTTACTAATTATTGAAATTCTATAATACTCATTGACAACCACAAACTTGCTAGGCCAAAATGCATAAGAACCATTAGAATAAGTGGAAGCACAAGGGAGAGAGATTAGAAGAGAAGGGTATTGATGCTCAAAATCTTTGAATACAACTTTATTTGTTTTCAAATTAATGTATGAACAAATAAAGTAGCTTTGAAATGCAAATATTTAGTATCGGAAAAAATAGATTTCCTAATGTGATATTCACATTACATTTTTACTTTTCTTGTATCCAAATAAACATCTTTTTCATTATTATGTAAATGTAAACTCGTTAAAATTAGACCTATGATACTTTCAGGATATCAGTACATTCTTCTAACCTACCAATCATTACTGCACGTCCTTTTGGATCAACCGCAAGGTACTGTCCAGGCACAATTCTTCTGCAACCACTTTTTCCAAATGTTTCTTGGTGCACCTATACAATTGGAATAAATGAGGAAAAAATGTTATTGTTACAAATTCTTGAGAAAAAATAAAGGAATAAAGAAATTTTAAGCCAAGTTCAAACACTAATCCTGTTCTTGAGCAATCATTAAGTTTTTAAAATAACTAAAATTACTTTTCAGGAGTTGGCTGCCAACATTCTAGAGGCAGGTATAAATAATAAATATTGAAAAAGAGCTTTGGTAGAACTACCCACTAACAGTATTTGTATTGCTTAAGTGAAAATTCACTATTTTGTTCTGGATAATATTGGAAAATTCCAGACTTTATACATTTAATGTTTTAGTAACTATTTATAAAACAATGCAAAATTAGTTTTTAATTACAGTCAGTATTTATATTAGGTTTTTTTTAATTTAATATTGTTTTAAGTTAATATTTATATTGATCTTTCACTTGCCAATTAACTTTTTGAGGGCTCCCTACTTTCAAGAACAAATTTTCAGTATTTAAGGTTTGAATTTTCATAATAACCACCTTTTAACATTATAAGGATTTTAAAAGACCATTGCAACAATTGGTTTAATAAGTTAAATGGATGCATAGTAGATCTTGCTTTTAAAAAAAAATTAAAGTAACAGGCCACATTATAAGTAAAAAATTAAACCATTAATATTGAAACATTTCCACAGATTAAATGTTACTTACCCTTTCAAACATGTTCTTAGATGGAATATACTCCAAAATGACAATTCTTCCAGAGTCTGAACCAGCAACAACATAATCTAAAAATGTGACAATTTTTAAAATTTCAAAAGTTATTCCATACCAAAAAAAAGGTGAGTCCAGTGTTTTAAGAAATAGCTGCTTTGAAAGAAGTAACAAAGAAAAAAGATTTCAGAGATTTAGCTTAATCTATGTTGTCCTTTTTATTAGTGCTAATATATAGTGTAAACTTGCTGGAATTTTCTTATTCAGTTTCAGCAGTTGTTTATGCAAGCAGAATCTTTGAAAATTTACCTTTAGTGCCTCCAGTTAGCCGAAAAGGCATTAATGAACGAACAATTCCAAAAACCTCAGTTGAGAGAACTGGGAAGATCTTCCCAGTATTGGGATCATGGCGAAAAAGTTCTAAAACTTTGCCCCTAGACACAACAATTTCCTGCAGTTTTGATCCAGAAAAATTGCCATGAATAGCAGTTACAATGCCCTGTGATCTCTGAAGAGTCAGGTTGTACAGGTACATGTTTTTGATTTAATGTATCATCTGAAATGAAAAAGTACTAAATTATTACATAATTAAGGCCTACACTTTTATAAGCTTTTATACAGTTTACTTAGTCCTGTCTGTCCTTTTTGGCAAATCTTGTGTAGTTAAACTTAAATATCTGTACTAAGCAAATCAACAAAAAAAAAAAAAAAAAAGCAGGGACTATTATAAAGAAAGAAAAAAAAAGCAGCGTGATAAAACAAACACAGGAAACCATAACATTAAGCTTCTGTTGGTTGTGGCAAACCAGATTTATATTTTACGAGCCGACCCGCGGTGTATCATACGCCGCTATTTAGTTGTTTTTTCTACTTTTCAGTAATTCATAATTTGTGAATTCGACAGTACCTAAGTAATTCATAATTTGTGAATTCGACAGTAACTATGCTGCCACTGAAAATATTTGCTTTAAAACACTACCCACCCCCAGTGAAATCAGCCTCCTCTTAGTTACCTCCTCTAAGTTTAAAATCGTTTCAAACTAAATTATCTGCCCCTAAGAACCGTCACTAAACCCGGCTTACATTTAGCATGAACCACAGCTCACCAGACCATGTGAGGGGGGGTGGTAGCGATAGAGAGGAAGAGAGGGTACTGCAAGGCGCGCTTGCAGCTTGTTTTCTAACGTCTCCCAGAAGAGAATTAGATATATAGATAGACTTTGGATGACTGAAGATATTGATGTCCAATAATAGACTTCCATTTGGTGTGTGTGTGTTCTCAACTACTTTTATAATTACAAATTAGGGTTAGGCATATGGTAGAACTAGAGTTGGGGATAGCATTCAGAATTCAACATTTTTTTGCAAATATAGGCCTATTGTATAAAACTTCTATTTTTTGTTTCCCACTACCTTTATTTTTTACAGAGCTTACTAAGACCAGTACATTTTATATATATATTTTTATAACAGTTTGCCGACCACTGACCTAACCATATTAATTACACAGTAGAATCTACATGATTTTAAAAATATTAAATGGGCCTTTCGAATACCTTTGATTTTGAGACTTCCTGATTTCCACTTGGGCCCATGCCATTTGGCTATTGACACAAATTAGAATTAAACGAAGTGACTTCTCGGAAAAAGATTTTTTTCCCAACGTCTCCACTTAGTCGGCAAAAGATAGTTTTGCGGATGCGCAGTGACCTATGGCTAGGGTTAGGGCTCTGCGGTTGTAAACACGCATGCGCAGTACCATCGAAAACATCGATGGCAAGTCGTAGTTTCTCTCCATTGCGAATACGTATATTTTTCCGGCCAGCATAGGCCTTTTAACCTTTTTATTTTGTTTTTATAAATAGCATAGATAGATAGGGCATATTTTTCTACTTCCTCATTAATGATAGTCTTTAATCAAGGCAATGTTAGTTGTCAAGATATAGACAATAATAGATCTAGATAGTAGATTCTAGATACGATGGATGTCCCAGATCTAGAGTGAAGTTCCACAGCCGATCACACATAGCAGAAAACCACATAGCAGAAAATTCCTAACTCCCGACTCTCATTTGTAACAGCTTCACACAGAAACTAACCGAATGTACTATATTAATCCTCTGCCATTCTACTCTAATATGTATCAATCATTTTATATTCCTTCGCATAGAATTTGAGATTTTGTGTTTTAGTGACGTGCTACTTGCGATATTTTTTCCTTTTTTTCCTGCGTCCACCTGAACCGGCTAGCGTAATGATCGTATTTTATAAGTTTTAAGCCAATTTTAATAACTAAAATATATTATTATATATTTTACACTTTTAAACGTGTTGTTGATTGTATTATTAATTAATAGATTGCAAAACCAAATAAAAAACGTTAAATTTATTAACTAGGCCTACACATTACGGATGACCCAGTGATCACTCAAGGGACGCAACTATAATAATCATAACAAAGGGACGTAACAATCACTAACAAGACATAACATTTGCTTAGATATGCTTGTATGTAGAGACAAACTAGATTTAGAAGAAGTAGATGATCGAAATAATTTAAAACAGAAAAAAATTAGAAATTATATAGATTCTACACTTAGCTTGAAATGTAGAGCATCTAGAACTAGATCTAGGCTAGTCTAGCTCAAGTCGGTTCCGCAGCGAGGTGAAACCACCCTAATCGTTACCCAAGCTGCGGTCATCCCTAATCACCTCTCAGGTTGCTTTATTAGCCTTATCTAATATCTAGTTTTTCTTACTATATGTGAAATCTACTCAATTCTCAGTTTAAACATGACAACTGAATAAAAAACGTCCATACTTTATCCTCTAGGCACTAATTTGGGGGTTGTAGCGAGTTTAGACTAAATTATTGAATTTTAAAATGTTTTGTCACTCACAGCTATGATATGACGGATCATCCATGACAACCTGGTTAAAAGTTGAAAGGTTTAACTTTTTAAGTGACCGTGAAATAGATCTAATTTTTTTTCACAAGAGAGTTCCTAAAAGTAGAATTGGCCCGTCTATCGTCGGGATATATTTATAGAGGAAAAAAAATTAAGAGAATGTCATCAGAAATAAATTTTAAAAAAGACAAGACAGAAGTGATGTTTGAATTCTTTTATTTCTTTAATTTTATAACAATTTTTATTGTACAAAAGAGCAAAATAAAAAACCATGCCTGGTAAACGTATCCATTCAAATAGCGGTCACGTGGTCAAAAAAAATAAAAAAAATTGGTTGTCATTTTTTGGACACATCATATAAAAAAAAGTGTTGAAGATATTTGATTTATTTTTTCATAGAATGATAAAACTAATAATGCTTTACTTTGGAAATCAATTTTGTGATAGGGAGATCTATATTTAAAAAGTTATATTATTTTGAATGACACCGACTTTAAATTTAGCCTACATTCCCCAAAGCAATTTTTGAAAATGCTTTTCTGGCATATTTAGCCTTGCGACCTATAGCATGTTTTTATAACGTGAAAACCCGCCATTTTACTCGTGATAAACATTTTTAAAAGTAATTCTAAGAAGGTCTCTGGAACTAAGTCGAAAAACTCGCCGGAAGTCATGGTCCAATCCTTACGCCATGTTCTGGTTAGCAACCAAGGACGCTTTTAAGTTAGTGAGCCTCCCTACTAATATCTATCGTATGTACAGTGTCCCGCACATATTGTTGTAGAAGCTACTTACTTATACTTAAGTTATAGTTAACTTAGTTATAAAAAGCTTTGATTGGTTGGTTTTATTCATTTCATCCGGGACATAGATATCTAGTGCTTTTCATAGGGGGAACTAGAATCGCCTACGACGTCATACCTCGAAACTTAAAAACTCGTCGGGAAAATGTTTACACCGGTGTCCAATAATAGAATCTTCTTTAAAAAAGGGGTGTTCGGTTACTGGTAGTTAACTAATTTCTAAATAATACACACATGGCTGGCTAATGCTAATGTCAATGCGGTAATCTATCGTTTTGGGTACGTAAAATCGCCCGCGGCTATTAATGTACGAAAACGTTACCTCATTGTCAAGGCTGTAATTGAAGTATATTGTGATATGTTTGTGTCAAATATTATAGATAAATGAATAATAAACCTAAATCAATGGCTAAATATATCAATATAGGCCAGAAATTAACTTTAAACAGCTGTGTCTGCAAGCAAGATTTGCTATATAAACAGCAGCCATTTGTAAAATAGAGTGACTTCCGCCTGAATCTCGCGCTATATTATGTCTATAAAAATAAAACTAACAAGATGGCTGCTATAGTAAATGAGCGTGGTTGCATCTGTTGGAAACATCGCTGGTGTTCATTTATTACTGAAAAGTTTTGATTCAATTGTTTAAAAACAGGTACATAAATGAAACAAGGAAACATTTTTGTATTTTTCAAAACATAAATCCTCCTCAAAATGTGAAATAATTATTAAAATGTAAGGAGTCACCTGTTTTTCACATTACTAGTCGCGGCCGATTTTACGTACCTAAAACGATAGATTACCGTCAATGCTAACCCTGTCCCTAACCCCCGTCCCACCACCATACGCCTAACCCTAATTTCTAACCATAAAATTAGTCGAGATTACAATACTACTAACAACACAACACCCCTTTTTTTAAAGAAGCTTACATTATCGGGCACTGATATTCATCCAAAAGGGGAAAGTAGGTCAGTGTGTGCGTGAGTTGAGATGGTGATGCGCAGTGATGGGTTACAGTTTCAAGTAGTAAATAGATCTAGACTAGTAAAAACGTCGCACAAGAAAGTCTTAATTTCTAGACTAGACTTTTGGGGTTTTGGACTTTAAGACTTGAATAATTGTATCTTACAAAGAACGTAGTGGAACTCTGTAGACGTAGCCTAGAATTAGATCTAGATTCTAGATCTAGATCTATTCTAGATCGAGAATTTTTCCAGTATACAGCAACGACAGTTATGAATTTGAAATAAAAGGATTTTGTAACGATTGGATTAAGCCTTAATTTAGAACTCTGAAAATTAAGAATGCATTCCCAAATGAATGTATGTGATACACACCTAAATTGGATGTTGCAGGATTACAAAAATAATCTAAATATTTTTACAACAGCAAACAAAATTGCGGCTTCCGGTATCGACATAACCGCTTCCCGTCCCACAATCCTAATTTGTAAAAAGTAAAATTTATAAAAAATATAACCTTGCCGGTAGGCTACTACAGTACTAGTCATTAGATTTTTACCGAAACAGTTTAGGCCTACCAGGATATTTATATCACCCTAAAATGAAATAAGCTATTATTGGTTATTTTAATAATAATATTATTATTATAAATAAATTTTATGTAGAATTCCAGAGAGGCATTTTGGTCATAGAAATGTATGAGCCGAGTCCTAATTCAAGGTCATTCTACTAGATTATAGGGATTTAACACATTAGTAAAATTAAAATGATCTGATTCACAGAAAAACAAGTTAATAAAAAGTCTAGTGACAATTTAAGCGCTATTTCCTTAATTAATTTTTTAGAATTCACAGACCTACGTAAAAATCATTTCGAACCTCCGCTCATTCGCTATGGTAAAATCCTTTCGAACCTCAGCGCTTTGCGCTAAAAATCTACACGATGCTCAGTTTAAATTTTTAAAAATCCTTTCGAACCTCCGCTCATTCGCTATGGTAAAATCCTTTCGAAACTCAGCTTTGCGCTTAAAACCTACACGATGCTCAGTTTAAATGTTCTTAACTAATTTTTTGTGACCGAACGAAAGGATATTTTTGAAAACTTTCTTCGGCAATATAGGTCTAAATTATGGTTGGAAACGATTGGTACATGTTTCAAGTCGCTAAGTGGTCTGGTTGCCGAGATATGGAGCAAAAACTGCATTTGTTCGATGTTTTTTGGCTTTTCCGGGAAATCCAGGAAGGAATTCCGGGATTTTTTTTTGGCCCACAATCATCCTTGGAACTTGCTTAACATATTTGCTTTTGGAACTAGTCCTCGATATTGCTTCGTTGAGGAGGAGATACGACTTAAAGGCTGCGGACACACATCCATACATCCATACATCCATCCAGAAATGACGCATTATTAAACGCAATTTGCCAGTATGGAAATTGCGCTAAAAAATGGATAACTGTGCACAAAAAAAAGGGAATATATGACCAAGCAAAAACGTTGTATAATGAGGTTGCATTTACAAAAAGATTATCAGTCCAGAGGCGTAGCGGGGGGGGGCATATGTCCCCGGGCGCCGACCTTATGGGGCGCCAAAATGGGTTGGAAAAATAAATTGAAAGCTTGAGGGGGGTGCAAATCGAAATCTTGACGGGGTGGATGCAAATCGAAAGTTTGAGGGGGGTGCAAATCGAAATATTGAGGGGGGTGCAAATCGAAAGTTTGTCCCCGGGCGCCGGGAAGGGTCGCTACGCCTCTGTATCAGTCTCAATAGTCCTTTTCCAAGGCCCTGAACCAAAGCTTTGTCAAGGTATCTAAGACTATATTGGATACCTTTACTAATATTGGGTAGAGACCCACGCTTTTCTTTATAGACATTATAGTTATTTAAATAGGAGTGTATATATTTAAGGAAAATCATTAATTTTCTCCTTTTTATTGCATTATTACATACAACTAAAAGCTTGTTATTAAAACGTTAATGCATTTTTTTTTCAGTACTTTAAAATTTTTAATACAATAGAGTTGCATGACTAAAAACTATTGCGCACCAAATGAACTTAATAATGCGCGTATAATAGTTCGGGATAGTAATTTATAAAAAAAAAAAATAATCAAATCGCAAAAAATTAATTAGACATCCAAGTAAGTAAAATTTGATGTCAGATTAAATTGTCTTCAATTCTTGACCCAAGTGCCAACTTTAAACGAATTGGTCAGTTAGACGTGCTTGAAATTTCGCTAGCCCGTTTCTATGACGACACGACGTGGAAGCAATTAGTTAAATAAAAGCTTCTAAAAATGGCAAAAAAAAGTGTTTAGCCTTATTAGTAACTTTGAGAGAGGATTAGAGCAGTTTATAAAATTGATATTTTGCTAATAATAAAAATTAAATTAATAAACAACGTATCATTATCATTATAAACCCCAGATTCGTTTGCCGTCTAAACAGACATTCTATCAGACATAATGTTTACTTCGAATAGAAAAATAGCACATGAATGATATCACCAATCATGCATAACAAATCAATATAGAAACTAATGTTGCAGTATCGACATAAGAAGGGATTTACAATCATTGTTTTACTGGTGTGTGTGTGTGTGTGTGTCCCCCTTACAGACACATTTTCATACTAAAACTTGGAGGTAGTTTAGTAATAATACTCTTCATGAAGTATTTAACATTTAATAAGCTTATGTTAAATTGGAGTTTTTAAGCGTGGTAATTGTAAAGGGATGCCCATACTTTCAATACCACGAGAAGAACATTTGATTATTCAGAATTGTTATAAAACACTGGGGGAAATATGCACACGTCAGTGTACGACAAACCCCTATTCTTTTCAATGCACAGTGAATGAGTGATTATGATCCCTACACGGCAATGGCGTAGCTACCGTAAACTAAAGTAAGCAAGGTATAGGGACCCAATGGGGTCATTCATAAATGACGTTCCACTTTTTTGACGATTTTTACCTCCCCCCTCCCCTCCGTCACACTTTGTCACAAAATAAACCGGGAGTGATCTCCCCTAAACTTTCTCGAATATTCTTATATAAAATAACAGGGGATGGGAACTCGGGCTATAGACTTCTAGACATGATTTTTAATCCATTTTAAATACTTAAAGTTTTAAAAATAGAATAAAATCTCGTAGACAAATTAATTGCACACCAAGTGAACGCGAATAAAAAAAGCGCATAATAGTGCGCAATATTATTAGTACTTTAAAAATTTACATTAGTTTTTTGAGAAATCGGAAGTAGCGTAAATTACTACTTCCGGTCAACGGAAATTACTCAAAATTTAACAGAAGGTAGAGAATTAGATCTTTTACTTACATGTGAAATTTAATTTATCTATCTGAAATAGTACTCAAGTTATAGGCTTTTGAAAAATTCAAAGTAGAAAAAGTACCACTTCCGGTTGTCGGAAATCGCTCAAAAGTTGATACGGATCTACGATTTTGATAAAATACTTATATATGAAATTTCATCAACCTAGCTGTAACGGTACTCAAGTTATCGTGTTTACACACGGACACACACACACACAGACACACACACAGACACACAGACATACGGACAAGATTGCAAAATTATGTTTTTCCGTATCAGTGAGATGCAAAACGTCGAGATTTGCAAAAATCTCGATTTTTTTTTTTTGCACGATTACAAGACTTTCTCTATACTTCGTATATACGAGAAAGTAAAAGCCAGACCCCCCCCTAAAATGACGTCACACCTCAGCCTACAACCCCCCCCCCCCCCCCCCCCCACAAAATTGCAGTTGAATTTTTTTTTTTAAACATCGATATTTTTTCAAAATCTTGTCTGAACTGTGTCAAAATAGAGTATTTTAATCAATTCCTATTACAACTTATTAAATAGTTTTCTAAAACGCGAAATAACGTCTAAAATTCGTTTTCTAACATTGCTTTTTTTAAATGCAAAAGTGTGACGTCGCACCATCTGACCCCCCCCCCCCCCCCCCCCTCATCACACACCGTCACAAAATTACCGACCCCCCTCCCCCCTACGAGTGTGACGTCATTTATGGACGATCCCCCAAGACATATAGGGTCTCCCCCATGAGTACTACGGCGCCTATATTCGTTTTAATTAGCGCCATACACTAGGGATATGGAGGGCTACTAATCGATTACTAAATCAAATAAGAGATTTAGCAGCAGCAGAAATAACGTTTGGGCGCCCGATTTACCCAGCGGCTACCTGACTGCAAAGGACCCATTGATTTCTTGTCCTGCAGAGTCAGGGGTAGGCCCTACTACTCGATTCAAGTCAAACTGCCCCCGGCATACTGATACAACCAATCACAAGAGTATCTTACACAAGGGAGACTGTGGGTCTCTACGTTCAATGATTAAACCAAACCAAGGGTGCATCTGGCTACCTACAGTAGTGTAACCAGTCACTCCCGTTTAAGGTGGGCTGCCATTGAAACCCTATGCAAATATATTGAGGAGAATATCTGAATAAACGTTCAGAAAATAACTTACCCACACATCTTCAAGAACTTTAATATGGATAACTACAGTTTTCAGCATCACTATGCCATATTGTAGGCGTGTTAAAATACTTGGTTATGACGCAATATTAAACTATAGCTTTTGAAACAGTTGACACTCTCTAAAATATATTTTTGAAATTACAAGTAATGAAAAGCGATGCGAGAACATTACAGTGATCTAGCTCATATTGTAAAATCAAAATCTTTAAGATAGCTACATTTAAACATATAAAAAATTAATTTTGTGCAGAGAGTTAACATTTCGAAAATATCCACACTTAGCACAGTGTTCAAAATTTAGTTGTGATGAAACAAAGTAGTACTAGATCTAGTAGATCATTATAACAACGTAGTTTACTTAAACTTTTGCGTCATGGCATAAGTCTATATAGAAATTGAGGGATAGTGTGGGTGTGCGTCGAGTTAGTTTTTTTAGTATAAAAGAAGCTACTACCTTGGTTAATTTTTCTGATTATTAAAATAAAACGTATTACATGGCCCTCGGCGGCCCATGTAAGCCTTTGGGGGGCAGAAACAGAAATTTTTATTTGCAGCAAAATCGCACCCTACCAGGGCGCCTGAGGACATGCCTGATTTAATATAGTGAGCGTTTGTAACGCCCCATCCTATCACACTGTGTAGACCGAACTTGGTCGTCATAGCGCTCACGGGAAAGACCAGGGCGCCTAATCGCATCCTGTCGGGGGGCCGAAAATGCAAAATTAAATCCTCCCTCCCTCCCTCCCCCCACCCACCCCCACCCCAGAAACCGGATAAACTGCGTCAAACCGCAATCGTCTTTTATTTTTATATACCGTATATAGAGAAAAATCGCACCCTCCCGTGGCGCCGCCCTTACGAAATTAAAAATGATTTTTTTTACAGAACCCGTCCCCAGAGTGTCCTAATCAACTTTCCAAAGTTTGATGGCGATCGAATGAACGCTGTAAAACCGCTATCGACGTTTATTTTTATATACCCTTTCGTGGCGCCGCCCTTGCGAAATTAAAAAAAAAAGATTAGTTTGTAGAACCCTTCCCTGGAGTGTTGTAATCAACACCCCAAAGTTTGATGGCGATCGGATGAATGGTGAGAAACCGCAATCGACTTAAATTTTTTATACCGTACATAGAGAAAAAAACAAATCGCGCCCTACGGGGGCGCCACCACTACGAATTTGAACATGTTTTTTGCGCAAAAACCTCCCCAGGAGTATTCTCAACATCTTCCCAAAGTGTCATGGCGATCGTGTGAACGGTGTCACTGCAATTCACTTTTATTTTTTTTTAAATTAATTTTATTATTTTTATATACCGTATATAGAGAAAAATCGCAACCTCCCGTGGTGCCGCCCTTGCCAAATTAAAAATTATTTTTTACAGAACCATTCCCTAGAGTGTTATAATGAACTCCTCAAAGTTTTATGCCTATCGGATTGCGGTGTCAAATCAAAATTGACTTTTATTTTTATATACCGTATATAGAGAAAAAACAAATCGCGCCCTGCCAGGGCGCCACCCCTGCGAATTTAATTTTTTTTTTCGCAGAAACCTCCCCATATTCTTAACAACTTCCCAAAGTTTCACGGCGATGTGATAAGAGGTATGGTAATGCATAAAAGACACACACACACATATATATTGCTTTATATATATATATATATATATATATATATATATATATATATATATATATATATATATATATATATATATATATATATATATGCCTAAATATATTGTTGCAATTGTGTCACCCCCTCCCCATGTTTTCTAATAGCTTGAATTTGTGCACACATTATATTAAGCCGCCTATCAATTCAAGTTGAATCAAGCATCATTTTCATAGTAAATTATTAGATATGGTGTCACCCCACCTCGGTGATTGACTTATTAGTTATTGAAAATTCTCTAGTCGGTTACTAATACAGCTGTATATAACAGTGTTTTCTCTATAATTAGCAAGTTTACGTCCATGTGTCACCCCTCCCCGTTGTCGGAATCTTCGATTTGCACTTAAGACTTTTTAACAGCAATTAATCATTAATAAACTGGCAAAAACCATTTTCTTCTATACATTTTCAATTTTTGTCTTGGTGCCAACCCCTTAAATGGTGTCACCCTCCGCAATGTTGAGGTAGAACAAACCTCGTTCTATCAATGAAATATTGAAATATCAATGAAAATTTAATTTAAGTCAGGGTGGAGGTTGGAGGAAGGGAAAGGAGGGCGCTTTTTTGTTTGTTTCACCTGGGCCGCTTTGACACAGCTAATAAACTTCTGTATAAACTACATTACGCTCATTTTAGTATTTTTAGTTAATGTACGGGGAGGTATTTTTGTGAAGGCTGTGAATGCATCGATTTTCTGGGAGGCTCAGTGCAAAAAAGTTGAGACGTCGTTGTCCTAAAGAAGGGCTGTGTTCTTAGGTTTACAAAATATAAAATTTGCAGCGAAAAACGAAACAACCTAAATGTCAAGGCAGAGCACTCTGTTTTATTATGCAAAATGGCTTCCGAAGAGAAATTACCACTGCTTACAAATGACGATGAGTCTCATGAATTCTCTCGATATACACCAAAAAGTCTCATACCTCCTTCATTAAGACCGATTTCAGATGGGCAACCTGAAAGATTAACAATCAGTGGAAGTAGTAGTGTCTTGACTCTAGCTGAACATGACTCAATTGTAGCCTTATTTGTCGTGGCATTTGACACTCGTTCAGGTACCTAGCCTAAACCAAAAATTATCATTCTAGATCAGTGGTTCCCAACCTTTTTCGAGTGGCGACCCCCTTTTATAAAAAGTAAGTGACCCGCGACCCCCATAGAATTAAAAAGCCGAAATTAGTATGGAAATTAATAAGCACTATAATAAGATTTTCTAGTAGACTTTCAATATGAACTAATCTTGATAACTGTTTTAATAGCATGAGTAAAATTGCATACTATTCACTAAACCTTCGTGGTTAAGTTTTTAATTTTTAAATTTTTTTTGTTAACGCCAACCTATGTCATTATAATTATCTTAATTTTGTTTTTAATCGAAGAATACTTTTGAAAATATATTCTCGAAAAGTCAATCAATTTTACGTTTGGGTATGAATGATGAATACTACACCAAAATTGTGTCTGCAGTTTTTTATCTTACCCGGAATCATTCTGCAAATCAAAGAATTCATCTTGTAATTCATCGGGAATGCTGGCAACATCAAGGGAAGAAGAGAATGGGTAATGCGTCAATGCAGATTCTTCTATATTCAGCTCAGAGAAATAGCGATGCAGTTCGTTTTCAAGAGATTCAAGATGCCCAGAAATCGTTTATTTCAAAATTTTAATTATCTCACCATCAGATTCATCTACCACACCGCAGAGTTTCACAAATTTACAATATTTCCAAGATTTATTTTCTTTACCGATTTTGCAGCTTTGATAAAAATGCCCCGAGATTATCATGGAAAGTTATAATATTAGTTCATTTTCCCTGAAGCTTCTGGTTAAGCTTATCTCGATGTTGTATGATACTCTCTCCAACCACTCTATGTACTTTTAAGTATACCAAAAAGTCTTGTTTCCTTTGCACTTCCAAGAACAATTTGATTTCAGATTTCAATTCAAAAACACAATTTACAATATTTCGTTTGATAGCCAGCGTACTGTAGTGTAGAAGAGCAGAACCTCGTGATCTATATTAATGTCTTTGCTTCGTTCTTTGAAGGCTCCAGATTTTATATAATTTACGACTTATACTAGAATGGACTCTTGTTAGGGCAGTGGTTAGGGAGCTAAATCTTTTCTGTTTTCTGAAAGCCCGATTTTGACCTAAACATAGATGGCGCACCATCCGTATAAACCACCACAGCAGTTTTAACCCATTTTAATCATCCAGTTTCAAAAAACGTATTTATTTTCTACATGCTATCTTCACAAAAGAGCAACTCTTCTTTGCTATAATTATCATCCGCATGAATATAGACATAGACCAGCAACTGCGAACACGAACTCACGTCTGTTGATTTATCAACTTGAAAAGCAAACAATGGTGAAAGCTTAGTTTCAATAAACATGTGTTATTTAACATTTACGTGCATGCAGCGTTTAATGAGATTTTCTCCTATTGTTTTTTTTTTTTTAAATGGCATTTTCTATCGCGACTTCATTTGATGCTTGCACTAATGCTGGTGAAAACTTCCTGTTCGATCAAGTCTCTGGCGTTTGCAAATAGCTTCTTACCGACGAAAGAACTCCATATATTTTTTGCTGTGTTCCGAATGACTCGTCTCAAATGACGTTTTAGTTTAGAAGATTTCATAGATTCGTGACTGAGAACAACTTTGTACTGTGTACAGTGCGCTTTGTTTCTTCTCTATTACATTTCCAATGATGTTAATGAAGCCGAATTTCAAAAATTCTTCTAAATATTTATGTTTTGTTTCAAATTACTAAGGTTTAGTATACCAGTTGGCGACCCCCCAGAAAGACCTTCGCGACCCCCAGGGGGGTCGCGACCCCCAGGTTGGGAACCCGTGTTCTAGATAATCTAGTATCTAGGCCAAGTAGTTTTTTAAAATAAATTTTCAAAGTTATGTGTTTAAATGACGTATAGGCCTGTATATTGTTTAATTGTAAACTTTATTTGAGAGTTGTGATTGGCTTTAAACTTGCATATTGTGTATTTGACAGTACCACTGCCGTCACTGAAAATATTTGCTTTAAAACACTACCAGTAAGTGGTTAAAGAATAAAGACGATAACCCCCCTCCTTTCCCCCAACCCCTAACACCCCCCCCCCCCGTGAAAGCAGTCCCCTAAGTTTAAAATAGTTTCAAACTAAATTATCTGCCCCTAATAGCCGTCACTAAACCCGGCTCTACGATTGTAAACATTTAGCGTGAACCACAGCTCACCAGACTTCCTAGAGAGGTAGAGAGGAGACTGCAAGGCGCGCTTACAGCTTGTTTTCTTCTCTCCAAGAAGAGAATTATATATATAGATTATAGAATTCTTCAAATAGAATAAAAATTAAAAAAAGATAACTAGAATTAATGAAGTGAAATTATTCAAATTAAGGACTTTAAGGTGTGTAGCACTGTTCTATATTGACTGCCCTTGGATGATTTCAAGACTGCACAAATACAGTACAGTGATTCTAGATACTTAATGATTTGCCATAAATTTGCATTTGTGTCAGTGTATGACATAAGAATGTTATTATTAATTTAGAACATGTTGGTTCATGTTATATGTTTCTGAAGCTAAGTGTTGAGATGTGCTAAAACTCAACGATCGACTCAAATGTTTACTGAAGTTGACATATCCTTTGATAGATTCTTAAAATCAGATTAACTAAAGTGTTCATGTTTCTGGGTTGAAATTTTCTTTTCATTATAGTTGCCTTTAAATAAAACTGTATGAACTGTAGCTTATGGGCATTATAATTTTTAATTTAGGCCCCTTATAAATCTATATAGGTGTCAGTATTTACATTTAGGCCTTATAGGTTTTTTATATTACACATCTCTAGACACAATATTATTAGTGTTTTTATTTCCATCTAGATTCTATTTTTAAAAAAAATTGTTTGCGATAAATATATATCTACTTGAAAATGCCTTTATAATCTATTTATCTGCCTAGAAATCCTATTTATAATTCATTCAAATCTTTAATTCTAGTTATCTAGATCTAGTTGATCTGCTATTAAAAAGGTTAATAACAATCTGGCTAATTTAAATTTTTATAATTTACTCCTTTCTTTCAATTTTTATTTTAATAATATAGATCTACAGTATATTTATTTTAAGCCCATTTTACTGTAACAGTCTATTTAAAACAAAAAGTTAATAAAAAACAAAAAATAATAAGAAGAATTAACCATAAACCCTGGTCCTAACATCAGTTTGTTTTATTAACATTTTTCATGAAATTAATGTTGTTTAGGAAACATAATAGAATGGTGCGTTCCAGAAGATACAGATTTGGATGGAGTTGAGTTTAAAGCAATGACAAGTGGATCTCATACACTAAGTAGTGATTTTGTGTAAGTTCAGATACTCTTCAAATATGCTTTAGCTGGACTGTTATTTATCTGTTTTTCTCTACATCAACTACTCTATAAAAAAACATTTATTTTAATTATTTATTACGAGCTGACCCGCAGCGTATCATACGCCGCTATTTAGTTGTTTTATTTTCTACTTTTCAGTAATTCATAATTTGTAAATTCGACAGTACCAATGCTGCCACTGAAAATATTTGCTTTAAAACACTAACCCCCCCCCCCCCCCCCCCACTTTCCCCATACCCCGACCCTACACCCCCCCCCCCCCCCCCCCCCCCCCGTGAAAGCAGCCTCCTCTTAGTTATTTCTTAGTTACCTCCTGTAAGTTTAAAATCGAACTAAATTATCTTCCCCTAATAGAAACCCGGCTGTACGGCTCTTCGATTTGTAAACATTTAGCTTTGTAAAAATTTAGAGTGAACACCGCTCACCAGACAATGTTGGGGTGGGGTGGGGGGGTGATAGTGATAGAGAGAAAGAGAGGGGACTGCAAGGAGGCGCTTGCAGCTTGTTTTCTAACTGATCCCAGAAGAGAATTATATATATATATAGATTTGGACTTTTATCATTATCAAGTGTCTTCGAAATCATTTAAACTTTGTTCCAGTCTAAAAAGACAACTTCAATAGCTATACTATAGGATGCTACAAGAAACTTCATTTTTTTAAAAGAAGACTTAAACAGTTATATTAAACAAATTTTCTTTTTCTTTTTTAAAGTTTATTTTTATATTGATGGAAATAAATACAAAGGGACATTTGGCTATCTGTGATATGTGATATGTAATTTTAGTTGAATTGCATTTCTACCACTTGAGAATCTGCATTTTTTAAATGTTTATATTTAAATATTTTTTATTAGAAAATACTTTAAGAATGTACTATTTCTTTATTAAAGGAAATTATTTTTAAAAATTATTTCTTTAGGCCTAATTCTAAATTATTCTTTATTTTTACTCCTATTTCAGTTATTTTCGTAAAGAAAATTATTTTGGTCTGGCATGTTTTGAAAATATGCGTGTTGAAAGTGAAATAGAAAGAGGAGCTCGTATGAAGTCAGTTGGAATATTGTCTTTATCTTATACAACACTGTACCGCCATATGCAGTTTTTAGAAAAACAAGTGAGGTAATAAATTCAATTTACATTTTTCAAATAGTATTAGTGTATATTAATTAATTTCCTTGTACTATTCATCCTTTGATATATTTAAGTTTTTGAGAAAAATTTTCTGGCAGGCACCAGCTGGAAACTCCTGGTAACTACTCACAACTCTTAGCATTTTACAATGATCGTAAAGGAATCTTGTCTTCAGAATCAACTTCAGAAACTTTAAGAGCTTCTTCTCCAAGATCAACTCCATCTACACCTAACAAGGATGTTCTTCCAGAAATGAAAGTATGTTTTTGTTTTTGAAAAATTGAAATTCCTATACTAAAAAGTTTTTTGTTTAAATATGGCATCATCATGGGTTGATGTCAAACCACCCAATAATTGCTTTCAGATCACACATCCAGCAGGCTGTTTTAGCCAGTTTATAAGATTCTTTGAAGAGCAACTATTTGTCCTTTGGAAATTTGCTTTATTGCAAAGAAGGATTATTTTTTTCTCACCACCACCTATTGGAGTTGTTTGTTACAGAGGTAATATTTTCAAAATATTAAGTTTCTTTTATAGAAGTACAATTCAAATGGACATAACTATTTTTACTTAAAGCACATCTTTGTGTACAGTTCATTTTAAAGTTTAAATTCTGTTATTTTAAACTTACCCATTCATTCAAATGTTTTTTTTCAGTGTATTGTGCTTGCTGTCTTGCTAATCACTCTATTCAAGGATTAAACAGCATAGAATTGCGGCCACATTTCTATGTAAATGTAGCTGATATCGAGGTTTTAGAGAATGAAGTTGCTTATGTTGCTTGTAAGTGAATTTGAAAATAACACATTGTTTGCAATTCTTTATCAGAATTAACATTTTTCATTAAAAAATTTAATCTGAATATTGATGTGCCCTATGTGTGTATATGTATATCCTTAATTTTTTAAAATACTAGGTACGACAGAAAAAATCTTTGAATCAAAAACTCACCTGTATGATATTTATGTGGACAACCAAAATGTAAAAGCCTCATCTATTGCAATGAAAGACCTACTCAAAGTTAGTGATGGTGATAGAGAGAAAATTGTAAAGCTGAACAACCTTAGGTAACTCTATAATCTTTACTTCTTTAGTTCTGTTTATTAATGTCAAATCATGCAAATAAAATGAAATTTGACATGTTTTAAACAGCAATGTCTAACAACTCAGGTGTGTACATTTCAGGACGGCACATAAATTTTCTACCCAAGATCTAGGCGAGGAATCATGCACTAATGAAGAAGAAATAATTACAAGGTAACATAAGCTGTTGAAAATTTCTATAAAAGATTGATAATTGGATACTTCTCAAATACGGACTATATTGTTTTTATAATCGCTATTGCTGTGATAAATATTCATATAATTCATTTTGAAACTAATAAAACCTAACTACCAGCTATTATTGACTTGCTGTTTTAAATTGACATATATATTTTGTAAAAATATTTGTGTACCCTTATATATACATAAGCACTTAAAAATTATACAATGATCACATATATTTCAATGTAATTAAGATAATGAATCATTGTACAGGATTTTTTAAAAACTCTAATTAGCCTGATACACATAACACATTGTAAACATATGCATCTGAACTTTCACCACCTTTTTTTAATTAGTTTTTTTACAGAAATGAATGAAAGGCTTTTCCAAACTCTTCTGGATATCTCCCAGTCACAAGACCGCCAACTGACATCTGACCACATGAAAAGCATTGGTTTGGATCCCATAGGAGACAGAGCCTTCCTGATGGAACTGGTTGAACATTATGGCATTGATGTAGTCCTAATGGTGGATAACCCTTGTTGTCCTAAATAAAAGCTCTAGCTTTGCTCTGGTGTTTCATATTCTGTATGTTTCAGTACCAAAACACAACCAGCTAAACTCTACTGACATTGTTTCTGGAATATTGTACCGAATTTTAAAGAAGTCAATGTAAAGTCATATGCAATAATGTCTGAAACCGATCATCAATCTAAAAAATATACAGTAGTGCTTACTGTAAAACTATGTTTGGTAAAAGAATTCTTAATATTTGAATACTCTACTTTATTTACCTTATTTATTAAATGTGATTAAAAAACTGATTTGCTTTTGTTTTATTAAGGAGATCTGTTTTTAAGTAACATGCTGAATAAGTTGAAAATGCTTTTAATGGAACATGATACTACTGCTACATAATTTATTTGTTACATATAATATGCTCTCAAGTTACATGTACTTTATGTTTAAGCAGTTACACACTTTTGTTTTATTACATCTTTATTTGGCATTACATAACAAGTTTTTAAAAGTTTAAGATAGATATAGTCTTAAAATCCAACAACTTCATCATTTTTTTTTTCATTTTTTTTTTTTTGCACTGATGGAGATGGCAAATCAGATAAAGAAACTAATTATATATTTTTTTATATAACACTAGCGTAAAATTCATTTTGCTTATACTTTGCTTTACTTTAAACTATTTTAATGTTTTAAACTCAGCTAAGTTCAGCTTAGTTAAGACTTCAGCAGTGATTTAAAAAGCATTTCCCTGTAATTCATGATTTTAGATAGTATACAGAAATATCACTGATATTATATTCAGAAAAGTATATTTATCACTACATATTTTGAAATACATCTTGCAATATTAACAAAATAAACTTTTTAATGAGCATTCCATATTATAATTTATTCCATAAAATTTTAATTCCGATGAAGAAATGTGTTAAGTATATTTGTAAATAAAAATGTGCATTTAATTACTAAATTAGTGTTTAAATAACTACTCTTGGTTTTTTTTTCAGAATTTAGTTCTCAATTTCATATTATTGTTGACTTAATTGTTCTACACATGAATGTTATTGTCTTTATCTGTGATTATTTATCATATTTGCAAGTATTTGTTGGGTAATGTGCAATAAAATCAAGTCTACTTAACTCTTTTATTTAACTTGCATTTCAATTAGAAATTGCAAGCTAATCATTTAAAAAGTTATGGGTGTTTAAAACATTTTCTTTGCAAAGTTTGCAATTCTTATAAAAAGAAAAACAACAGAAAAATAACATTAGTATAAAAGCTGCATGTTCATACATGATGCTAGTGGTCTTGTTTTTTCTAGTGTTTAAATTTGAAATAAGCTTTGTTTCTAACCAGTACAATAATGGTGTTAAGCTCAATCAGATTGCTAACCAAATAAAGTTGATTTTATATGGCAATATGGCCTTGTAAGTTTTTGATCAATATATCTTTATATGTTTTATATATTTAGATTGTTTTTATTATGCGTGATAGATTTTTAAAAAAGTGAGAATTAATGCTTATAGTTCAGTGTTTTACTCATCTTAGATTCTTTCAGCATAAATAGACAATGATATTATTCTATTGTATTTTCTATGATGCTATAGTATCATACTTAACTCATAAATACTTATGATATATTTTCAGTGTTGTGACTACTGTATTATTATGGATGGCACCAGTTTGTGGTGTGTTGAATCTACCCATAAAACTCTTTTTATTGGGTTTATTTAAGCTTTCCAGCCCACCAAGAATTAAAAAACAGGTTATGTTATGTAAACTACACAGTATATAATCATTTATTTTTGCCAATTTGCTTATATAGCAGACCCTCTGGATTTTAAAACCTGAGACATTCATACAACTATTTTGGCTGTCACCTGATTATACAAGACCAATCATTTCATTTCTCTTTGTTGTAAATATATTAAGTGTCTGCTTCAAGGCATTTAAAAAAAACCTTTAACTATTCAAAAGCTGGCCTAACATCTCCTACCCACTTTTGTCCAGATTTTAATTTCCTAAATAGGGCCGCTTATGAATGAGTATATATGGTGTATGTATATGTACATATGTATGCTAATCCTCCCAGGTTACCAACAATATGTTTATATCATTGTGTTTTACATTTTATGTGCTGAAATAACTAACAATATCAGCTGTTCAGAGTATAATTGTAATGTTTTGTTTAGTATTTTTTTTAAATGCTACTTTCTTTTGCATTATATAATTAATTTGAATTGTATTGTAGCGCTGAATTAAATCTTGCAATTAAAATGTTTTGTAGCAATGCTTATTTAAATTTTAGAGAAAATGTGCTTTAAGTGTAATTTTGATTTCTTTTATAAATTACAAAATATAACAATTTTTTGATCATAGTATTGAATAGCTTACATTATTTAATAATTACTTTCTTTTGCAAATTGTGGCAACATTTTGTGCAGCTAAATAAAAAAAAGTCAGGATACTTTTGTAGTATTTTTGTTAAAAATTATCTTTCTCATTACAGCCATTAATCATTTTCAATAAAATATTGGTAAGTTGACTAAAGTTTTTCACACAGCTTGCCTATACAAAATATTAAAATTCTTTAGTTAAAATTAAATACTAAAATACTCTCATTTTAGTTCATATCCTTATGGGTGTGTCAGCTGTTTGATGCTAGCAGGTCATGAATAATTAGTGATATTACAAGAAATAGTAAATCACTAAAAACACATAACATTTTATAGTTGAAAATATATTACATAATCAATTTAAAAAATTCACAGCAGCTTACTAGCTATTGACAAAAAAAAGTGAATAACAACTACTTTCAGTTTAAAGTTCACCACAAAAACCAGTTTTGATACATGCCAACAACTTGCCATGTTGTTTCTAATCTTTATTTAAACCAATAGCTGTAATCCCTGTTTGTCTTCTGAGCAGTATCTATTAAATTATATAGCAAACTGCATGTGTTTGGATACATTTTTAAATTCAAGATCATTCAAACTAAACCTTGCGCTAATTTACCTGTTTTATAGGACTTTGCGCTTAGCTGACTTTTATAGGCCAACTACTAAATTAAAACTGAGGAGCATCTCTAAAATTTAAATACTATAACTATTAGAGATAACAAGCTATTTGCTTCATAATGGTGTAGCAATGTATGAGGAAACAATTGTTTATGACACACGTGAAAATATAACCAGTTAAACATATTTTACACGGAGTGGGCTAGCGGTAGAGAGCTGGACTGCTAACCAATAAGTCTCGAGTTGAAATCCGGGTTCAAGTCAGTAGACCGTCCTTGAGTCCACCCAACTCTGATGGGTACCTAACTCACATTAGGGAAAGTAAAGGCGGCTAGGCATAGTGCTGACCACACAATCTCTTCATATGCCGAGGTCACAGAAACAAGTGAACTCTACTTCAATTGCCCTATAGACCGTCAGGTTTGAAAGGGAACTTTACTTGTTTTACTTTACACAAATTAGTTTAAACCTTAACTTAAATATTAATGCTGAGTTACAATTAATTTTAAGTTCTAACAGTTGCCTAGTTTTTTTCAGATTTTTATAGGTTACAAAAAACTTCATAAGATACTAATTGCATAGACTTTATAATTTTCATAAATTTATGAAAAACAAGATTATTTTGGTTTCAGTTGTGGTTATTTTATGGGGTGTGTAAATCCATTTTGACATTTTAGGGCTGATCTGACTGTGAAGATGTGGGTGGGGATGACAATCAGCTAAATATGGACAACACATTTTGCCTATATTACCATACCTTTTTTTAGTAGTAGCAATAAAAAAGAATGTAAGATTGCTAAAAATACAAAGTAGGCCTACAAAACATGCGAAAAAAGCAAACATTTTTGCAGACTTTTATTTAACTTGCTTCCTCGGTTATCCATCATGGATCAAAACTGCCGAGCTAAACTTCTATCACTTCTAACAAGACTCGATGACAATGCAATCTGACATCAAATTTAACTTAATTGGATGCCTAATTTATATTGTATGAATTAATTAAAATTTCCTATATAAAGTAATATTTAAGGCAATAGTTTTTAATCAAGCAACTCTATTGTAGCTCTATTAAAAAATTTAAAGTAGGGCCTACTGAAAACAAAATGCATTGAAAAATGTTTAAATAACAATTTTAAGTATGTATTAAAAAGGAGAACATAAATTATTTTCTATAGAGATATAATTTAAATTATATTTAAATAGCTAAAGAAAAGTGTGGGTCCCTACTAATACCACTATATTATCTTTACTAAAATTTAAGAAGCAACCCACGCTTTTCTTTACTAATTTGAATAGTAGTATATTTTATTTATCTAAAGAAAACAATTTATTTTCTCCTTTTTTTGTGCATAATTATATAAAAGCATGTTATTTAAACGTTTTTATGCATTTTTTAAAAAGTTGTAATAATGCGGTCTAACTAATTCTATGTTAGATTCTAGTACTTAGCACACTTTTACTTTGTAGTTTGGCCTGATACACAGCTTTTTATCTGGCAACTAGAATCTAAGAATCTTGTACTAAGAATCGAGTAAGAGAATCATCAAAAATGCCGCATATAGATAACGACGTCAAGCTCGATTTCAAAGATGTCCTTGTTCGACCAAAGCGTAGTACTCTTAAAAGTCGGGCAGATGTAAGTAAAACTGCTACTAGATCTATCTAAATTGTATTTTATTTTAGATTGCGCAGTGACTAAACTGTAAATGCCACTGGGCAGCGTTGCCAAGTTTAGTTTACTGTTTAGAAATTGTGAAATTCTAATAGAATTAAGTCTAAGATTCACTTAATGATGAAACTAAGACTTGACTAAGAGTTAAGACGTGTTAAAAAATGACAAATATTTATTAAGAACTGGATAGACTAAAGATTACAACATATTGTGGAATTTAATAAAGTTAATAAAGACAAAAATGACTAGATCTAAATGTGGTTAGTTAATGTCATTCACCTCAAGTAGCCTAAATGTTTGTTTATTTTACTTTTTTTGATGCCATATTAAAATTAATTGACTAATTATACTAATTGCTAATTGGTGATATTTTATTTCAACATTTACATACTTCTGAGATTGCTACTTACTACTTACTCTTAATATTGTGAATGCTTATTTTTTCTAGGTTGACCTCACACGATCTTTTATTTTCCGAAACTCAAAAAAGACTTACACTGGTATACCTGTCATTGCTGCTAACATGGATACAGTGGGTACCTTTGAAATGGCCCAAAGGATGGCTTCGGTAAAGTAGAATTTAAGTTAACCATTTCTGTCTTTCTCATTTTTTATTTTATAAAATGTTATATCATAATGATCTGATTAGTAAATAATTTCTTTCCAAATTTGTTGATTCCACCTTTTCATATTTAATACTAAATTGTTTACTCATTTCAGCACCTAATGTTTACCACTATACATAAGCATTACACAATAGAAGAGTGGAAAGAATTTGCTGAAAAAAATAAAAGCTGTCTACCGGTAAGGGCCTTATTTCTGTGGCTAGTTTCTGAGCAACCAATGAAAGTAATTTAAATATGATAAGAAAATTAAAAATAATTGAACATTCTGTTGTTTTATTCAAAAATAAGTTGGAAGAAACTGCATAGTAATAAAAATGAAAATACTTATTTTCATATTACAATTTGTTATTACTAAAATATTCCAAAAATGAAGCACACTTAGATTCATTTAGGGTCCTGTTGACCATCTTTGATGGCACTCTTTTTTTTTTTAAATTTAAAAGTATAGGCCCTATTTTTTGTTTATAACAAAAAATGTAACAACTAAAAAGGCATTTTTTAAAAAGGAAGCAAGGATTGCAACAACAAAAACTAATTCAATTAGCAGTCTTTCCTGTAAGATTAAATATGCTGGGAACAACCTTCTTTGCTTTGCTTGCTTTTAGTTTGTGGCAGCAAGCTCTGGTATTGGTGATAGAGACTTGGAGAAGTTAAGTGCCATTTTGAGTGCTGTTCCTGATATCACCTACATTTGTATTGATGTTGCTAATGGCTACTCAGAACATTTTGTTCAGTTTGTTCGAGATGTTAGAAGAAAATATCCAGAGCATACTATAATGGTGAGAATATTTTAATTAATTTTTTTTTATAACTAAGCAACATGTTGTTTTTGGTTTCATTTACATGCCTTTATTTCAATCTTTACTTTTGTATATAAAGGATTAAGTCAAGTAAGTCATATGTTTCCTAAATATTGAAAAAAATATTGAATCCTATTTTAAAACTTAGAATTTTCTGACTAAACTATTTTTTTTTACTGTTAATGTTATTAACCATGTTTTATCTCCACTTTCATTAAGATTGGTATTTTTCACAAATTGTAATCTAATCTGTTCATGTTTTTTAATTGATGACACTTTAGGCTGGTAATGTTGTGACAGGTGAGATGGTTGAAGAGTTGCTCTTGTCTGGAGCAGATATTATCAAAGTGGGCATTGGTCCTGGCTCAGTGTGCACTACCCGTAAAAAGACTGGGGTTGGCTACCCACAAATTAGTGCTGTTCTTGAATGTGCTGATGCTGCACATGGACTAGGAGGACACATAATCTCTGTAAATTTTATTAGAACTTTAGTATTCATTGAATAAAGGTCCATACTCTTGCACAATAATTTAAAGTTAAAAAAAAAGTTTGGGTTACTGTGTTTAATTAAAGAAAAGTAATTTTCATACCAGATAAATAATTAAATTTTAACAGTGTTATTAAAAAATTATTATTTCAAACAGTTATTTTCATATTTCATTCAGGATGGGGGCTGCACATGTCCAGGTGATGTGTCTAAGGCCTTTGGTGCTGGAGCTGATTTTGTAATGTTGGGCGGAATGCTAGCCGGCCATACAGAATCAGGAGGAGAAATTATTGAAAAGGATGGCAAAAAATTCAAATTGTTTTATGGGATGAGCTCAGCAACTGCTATGAAAAAACATGCGGGTGGTGTGGCAGAATATCGGTATGATAATATTGTGGGGAACAGGTCATTACACCCTCCAAAAAAAAATATTCAAGGAGGTTAGGTTTAAATTAGTAAATGTATGGATGGGGATATGCTTTTCTTTACCCTCAGCTAATTTCAGGCATTTTATAAAATGCAGGGACTTCTCTTACCAATATCACATATAATAATTATTCTCAGAGGGGTGGGTATTATCCCAGACCCAGTATTATGGTTGTGACCAGTTTAGCTACTATAGAAGAGTTAAAGTTTTTGAAAATATAAAAGGTAATAGGGCAGTTTTGTACAGTGTTTAAAATCCATTAAATTTAATTTAAAGAATTTGTTAACATTTAACTCTGGACCATGTTGTTTGACAGGTAAAATTACAAAAAATATTTACATAACAAGCTTCACTTTTATTGTAAGAAAATACTTTCAAATATCTTTTAAATTTTTTTTATTTTCAGAGCATCTGAAGGCAAAACGGTAACAATTCCTTATAGAGGAGATGTTGAAAACACTATACAAGATATTTTGGGTGGTGTTCGCTCAACATGTACCTATGTGGGAGCATCTAAGCTTAAAGAACTTAGTAGGAGAACAACCTTCATAAGAGTGACTCAACAGCTAAATGAGGTCTTTACTCCTATAACTACTGAGCATTGAATCTACCAAACATTACTTTCTCAAAATGAGTAGACTAGTTGATTGAGTAAAATAGAGAAGGTTTGCTTGTGTTTTACGAAAAAGATTTGCCCTCTCCCTTGATGACTTAACTTTTCAATCTGTTTTACTAATTTTTCCCTATGAAAAATATTGATGTTTTGTAATTCAATAGTTTTGGGGCATTAATATTGAGCATTATTGTAAACCTTTAAGTACTGTAGCAGATGGGGCATTAAATCAATCTGTAGCCAAGCAATATATTTCTAATTATGTAGGAATGTTACATTAAGCAAAATGGCAAATTCTTACATCATCATAGAAGCAAAATTGCTCATTTTTTAAAATTATTATTAAAACTGAAAACAGGTAGGGTGGTTTCTTAAGGCATTTTAACATTTTATTTAGCATTTTTTCAGCATTTAACCTACTGCTGAAAGTACAAACAAAACAATTTGAATAAAGAATTTTTTTGCTAAACTTCAAAGATTGTAATGTCTGAACAGAAAAGTTTCAATTTTTAACTTTACAGCATAATTTTAAAAATTGAAACTGCTTACAATTCATTGCTTTTTTTACTGTATCAAAAATATTAAAATTGTTTGAGATTCAAAAGTGTAAAAAAAAAAACCCACTACAGCTGGAATGATTTTTTCCTCTTTAGTGGTTGTGTGTCTTTTTTTTTTCAAAATGTTCTTCAAACATGTAAACGGTTGATTAATAATCTGATGGGTTTCTTTTTCCATTAGAAATTCTTTTTAAAAAGAACACCATTTGTGTTTGGTTTCTGTGTGCCATTAACTTATTTCATAGTAACTTCTTTTCTTTGTTTTTGTTAATTGAACAAATTTGCTTTTTAAACAAATTATATAGATTAAACATAAGCAATTGTCTTGTATTAAAAACAGACATTCCTTGCTATCCTGGAAAGTTAGAACAAATGATACTTGGCTCATTTGTAGGTAGAGTAATGGTTAATTTGTGCTAAAGCATTTTTGGACAAGTTTGTTTTTGTAAAATATTTTTTCAAATGTTATTCCCGGTTGCTTATACAAGAAATCTAAGAAATGTGATATATTATTACCATCATTAATAACTTTATTAAATTTATTTGTGGTTTATAAATTTGAACCATCTGATATGAGTAGCAGCGTTTCATTATTTTAAATAAATGCTGTTTCTTGTTTACTGTAAACCTTACATCACTTGTGTAAAGACTAGTTTAACTAATTACTTAGTTCCGACCATTTCTAAGCTGTGCCAGCTATTGTTTATACATGTTCATTTGTTTTTCACTGGTAGTGTTTTTAATTTAATCTAGTTTTCTCTGTTAAAGATACTTCATACTTGGTAATAAAGGAATATGGTAATTAAATACCATTTTAAAGCTAAGCTTATCAAACAAAATTTGAAATTTTAAAATTATATATTTGTCTGCATATATTTTCCCTTACAATAAATTCTTTACCATCAAGCAGCCGTTTCATTTTTTCAAAAACAAGTATAAATTAAGCAAAAATGTTAGTTTTTCCACGAATACATACAAATGACATCCTAGGCTATATGGTTCCTTTAGTGGTCATGATCATATTCCATTTTAGTCCTTGTACAGAAAAAAGTCCATGGAATAACGTGACTCTGAAATTGGAATATAGGGTGTTATGTTCTGTTGAATAACTCTTCCTGAACAAAATTAATCTCTCTAAAAGTCAACTCTAATATTCAAGGTTCTACATGTTATAATTACAGACAAGACAAAACACATGAGTGGTGCATAAAAAAAAATTCATAAAAAACGTTTTAATAACAAGCTTTTATGTAATGATGCACTAAAAAGTAGAAAATAAATTATAGACTACTATTTAAATAACTATAAAGAAAAGCGTGGGTCACTTTTGTATCTATTGGATACCTTTACTAATGTTAAGGAAGACACCCACGCTTTTCTTTATAGTTATTTAAATAGTCTATAATTTATTTTCTACTTTTTAGTGCATCATTACATAAAAGCTTGTTATTAAAACGTTTTTTATGAATTTTTTTTCAGTACTTTACATGTTTTATTTACAATAGAGTTACATGACTAAAAACCATTGCGCGCCTACTGAACATCACGTTCAGTAGGCGCGCAATGGTTTTTGAACGCAGCCATTACGTGATGGCGCAGCTATTGAAGGTGATGACGCGTGTGGTGTGGTTGGCTAGACATGCCTACTAATTCGGTCCAAATTTTTATTAATTCATAAAAAATTAATTAGGCATCCAATTAAGTCAAATTTAGTTTCAGATTGCATTGTCTTCATTTCTTGACCCACGTGCCAACTGTGAATCGTATCGGTCAAGTAGAATTGTCCGAATTTTCACTCCTGCGTTTCCGTCAAGACAGACAGAGGAAGTGAGTTAAATAAAAGCTTGTAATAATAAAAAAGCTACAGACCTTTACCAATGTCCCACCTTAGCCAAACAACAGATCATGTTGTTAATCTGTTTCAGTATATCAAGTTAATATTGAGGATTGTGTAGTCACAACAACATTTGCCACATAACACAGCATGTAGTTTTAGTCATTTACTTCTTTCACACTTTCCCCAACTCAGCAATGGGGGGGGGCAGTGTTTCTTCCAGACTTTTTTCTACGGGGGGGGGGGGGCAGACTTTCTTCGGCGGGGGGGGGGGGGGGACACTGTTAAAAGTATATATTTTCTACATAAGTTATATAAATTTCATTTCGGGGGGGGGGGGGGGGGGGGGGGCGGGTGAGTAGAATTTTTTTGCCTCCCCCGCCCGAAGAGATGCCTGGAAGAAACTCTGGGGGGGGGGGGGGGAGGGGAGTCCGTTCAAGGGGCTTACAGCCGACCATAATCAATTTTTTTTTAACGTTAAAAAAAAAAAAATCCCGAGTCCTCTTTCTCTTACAATCAAACGGGATCCGGACAAAAGGCCGACGTGGACAAAAGGCCGACACGGGCAAAAGGCCGACACGGACAAAAGGGCGACATGACAAAAGGCCGACAAGACAAAAGGCCGACATCCAAAAGGCCGACAAGACAAAAGGCCGACAAGACAAAAGGCCGACAAAAGGCCGTATTTTTCTTTTACAAAAAAAAAGTGTTAGTAAACGTGTATAAATTGAATTCGCTCCCTTGAGCGTTTGGAAAAAATAGTTGAGACCATCCCAGCTTCGGTACTGATGGATAGAAGCACATGGCGCTTTGTTGTCCCTTTTAAGTTCCTTTCTCAGCCCACCCCTCTCCCCTCTCTTAGTCTTACAATTAGCTAATAGGTAAATTAATTAATCGTTTGCGAACTTCCTAGCTATATATTCTCAACTTCTCGCATTTTATCAGACACTAGTCAGCGAATATTACTTTAATAGCATATTATTAATTAGTTTGATGAAGCTTATTCATAAAACAAGGAAAAGACTATTTTTTAATCGTATTAGTACATGAATTAATTGAACTTTTATAATCAATTAATATTAATAAAAGACGACATTTAGGGATGAGGGTCTAGTTGTGAGTCGTCAAAAAAAAAGCATGATGTCATTTATGAACAGAGGCGTAGCGACCCTTCCCAGCGCCCGGGGACAACTTTTCGATTTGCACCCCCCTCAAGATTTCGATTTGCACCCCCCCCCCCCCCCCGCTCAAACTTTCGATTTGCACCCTTCCCCCCCTCAAACTTTCAATTTCTCAACATTTCAATTTATTTTTCAAACCCATTTTGGCGCCCCCTAAGGTCGGCGCCCGGGGACATATGTCCCCCCCCCCCCTCGCTACGCTACTGTTTATGAATGCCCCTTAATAAATCAGAGGGTTTTCCTCTGTGTGAGCTGTGCAAATACAGCTGTATTATGAACATCGTGTGTCTGTCTTTTATGCATTACTACACCCTTCATGCTTTCGCAATAAAAATTTTGGAAGTTTTTGAGTACACTCCCGCAAAGGTTTCTATCATAGACCTAACATTTTTTTTAAAAATATTGAAGTGACGGCTTCCTACGAAAATGTGCAGTTGAGCGCTGCGAGATCTCCAGTGGCTATCTTAGCACCAGTGGTCCGCTTATATAATTCAAAGTTTGTCGGTATTAAACATGTAGTCCAGTCAAGGCACGTAATCGTTCTACTTCATTTGGTTTCTTTGATTTCTTTGCGACATATGGTGGTAACACCACCTTTCTGGTTATCCTTTATACACTCCCGTCATCTCCAGTCGCATGGGCCCCATTGTTCACCTTATAAGGATAGCAACTTATTGCATGTGGGCGATGATCATATGATGCAACGGCTTTTGACTTGGTTCTTTGATGATTGTCTCACCTCGTTGACATAGAAGGAGCTATAAAGGACACAGTGTTTCTTCCAGACTTTTTTCTTCGGGGGAGCACTTGAAATTTTCGGGGGGGGGGGGGGGCTTCGCCCCCCCCCCCCCCCCGAAGAGATGCCTGGAAGAAACTCTGAAAGGACGAGTAGTGACCGCATTTCGCAACATTTAGGCGTTGATCCTTTGTGTTTAAGACACTCCCGTAATTTTCAGTCGGTTGGACCCGATAGTTCACCTTATAAGGATAGCAACTAAATAAAAGTTTGTAAAAGGAGTAAATGTTAAACAAACATTAAGAGAAAAGCAGAGTGAAGAGAGAAACTTCTCAAGAAACTTGGAGACAAAACATTAGAATTCTCAAAGTCAAAGCTCTCTAACGAGGCAATCATGCCAGCTGCAATTTGGCTCCTGACAATAGAGCTTTCTCAAAACAGCTCTAGATCTAGTTAATATAACACCCGTCAAACAATAGTGACAACGGGGGAGGGGGGGAAGGAGAATGTAGAAGGGGCAGTGGACACTGGTTAAAGTAAATATTTTGTTTGGAGAAGGGGGTAAACGTACTTTTTTTGGGGGGGGGGGGGGTAGCAGAAGAAATGCATGAATGAAACTCTGAAGCTCTCTTCAAGTATGGTAAGTAGTACTAAGTCTTACTCTTAAGGAGGGCTCCTAACGGGTCCTGTCATTTGGGTTACTGATAAAGCTTCGTTAACATAGTTTAAGACTCTAGATCTAAATCTAGATTAAAAAAAAACAACAAACTAAAACTTCTGTGCTAGGCCTGAGTTAAGCTAACCACAGGTTTAGTTCTAGAATCTAGATCTAGGGGCTTATACTTATAGACATAGTTAGGCCGGTCTAGATCTCGATTCACTTTCACTCGAAACTCTCTTAGTGTTAGGGTAAGAAATAAAACAAAACCCGGTAGGCTTACCCAATCGTTTTACACCGAATTATCTTCTGCTTGACAGCGATGTTTAAATATGGCTGCCTACACAACAGTTTTTCTCATCTTGATTTTTTGTAATTAAAAATAATTATCTTATATATAGAGTCTAGACAATAATTGTCTGCAATGCTTATCACTTAAAACAGATGTATAAGATTCTAGTACCCCATTCATTTCAGTTGCAGATCATCATTCTCAATATAAATAACTTGTTGGAATGAAAACTGTATGGACTGATGAACTCATCAGTCACATCAGTGAATTCAGTGACATCAGAACTCTGATGATCTGATTCTGAACTCTGAACTGATGTCAAACAAAATTTTCATTTTGTCATTGTCTCATTGATCAGTGATGACTGAACAGTGACAGAATGGGATGAATGACTGACTGCACGGTTGAGGAAGTGATGCTAAGAGAAGAATAAAAATTCCATTTAGATCTAGATTTTTTAGATTAATCAAATCTAATTCTAATCTAGGCTTGTATGAGAAGAATCAGATCGATGTAGATCTAGAAGTGGGTTGAAGAGGAATGGAAATTGTTCACCACGAAGTCTAGAATAGTCTAGATTCTACCTAGGTTCTAGAATCTAGATTAATCTAGATCTAGACTAGATTCACTAGATTGTCACTGTGCATAAGACTGTTAAGATTTAATTTATTATATAGGCCCTATATAATGTATATATATATATATATATATATATATATATATATATATATATATATATATATATATAGTATGTATACATTTTCTGAATTTTAGATATTGCTGTCTGCAAGTCTCAATTTGAGCTGGATGAAAGGTATTCATTACTTTTCCCTTTAAATATGTTGTACTTAGATTAACATATTTATCATAACAAAATAACACCTTAAATCTCATTCTTTATGTAATGTGAACTCAAACTCCATAATAACACAAACATAGCATAATTAACACTATACCTACACTCAACAGCAAACACAATCCTTAAAGAATCTATAAACCTGAAGCTAATCTGAAACCTTGCATGTCACTAACTATAACCGTATTTGTGTTTTTCAAGAAATTATCAATATTAAAAAGAGATTTGCTTCTATTGATTTTTTTTATGTAGGTTGCATTGTAAACAAAACATGAAGGATAGGCTAAAACAATGCAGATTACACAGCTTGCTAAATTATTACTTTTAAATACTAATACATATATTTCAATATAATAATATTTGGTTGAAAATAGGTGCTATATGTATAATTTATGGTAACACAAATATATATTAAAGGCATGCACATAAACATTCTGAACCAAAGATGTTATCAGAGAAGGCATCTCTTCAGGGGGCGGTAGTGTCCCCCAAAACACATCTACCACCCCAGAATGAAATATAATTTATATACATTAGCCCCCCTATATATACTTCAACTAGTGAAGTATTTGAATTATTTGCATTTTTAAAATATTTTCAGATTTTTAGAGTACCGTAAACATGGCATGTGGCTTGTTGAGGTAATGATCTGAGATACCATATTTACACTGTTAGCCATCTTGATATAATGTTTGATTATTGAGGCTTTCTTATTATTTCAATAAATAAGAAATACAAAAAGAAAAAGAAAAGGATCGCAGTATTCTCAGTGTTTGTCCTAGGCTAATTCTTGATAACTTTTTCCATAGTTTTATGCACCTTGGTGTGGCCACTGTAAAAAGCTGGAACCAGTTTACAGGGAAGTTGCTAAAGAGCTTACACAGACAAACAGTGAAGTTAAAGTTGGAAAACTGGACTGCACTAGATATTCTCAAATAGCATCTGAATTTTCAGTAAAAGGTTTCCCAACTATTATGTTGTGAGTATCATTCCTCTTAGTTAGTACTTTTAAGGCCATATGTCTAGATCATACAGTAGTTTAGTGACTAAACTGATAGAATAGTTAATAAGATTTATTTATACTAGTTTTTTAAAACACTTGTTCCAAATCGGACTAATGTCTAGTAACAAAATTTGAAATAAAAATCCCAGTGATTAAAGATGAGTTGAAAACCTAAACTTTTATCCCTTGATAATATAAGAGTAAATAAACATTGTTTTCTTTTTTGTTCTCTAATGTATGTATTGCTACATAATTTGACAGCATCCATGGAGAAAGAGTGTTCACACATAGAGGAGACAGAACTAAAGAGGACATCTTAGAATTTGTTTTACGAGCTCAGGGGTAAATGAAACAATTGCTGTAGTTAATAAATAAAACATTATAAATATACATAGAAATTCATTTTAAAAATGTATGATATTCTGTAAAAAAATTCCTTTATTTACCAGACCAACTGTTCGTAAACTAAGCAGTGTTGGAAAGTTTAATGAAGCTTTAAGTCAACACAGCGGCTCAGTCTTTTTCCTCTATATTGGTGATGATGACGAACATGAGGATCTTTACGTAAATATTTTAATTTTCTAAAGTTTTTAGCTTACATATTTCATTCACCAAAGCTAGAGTAAAGATTTAAGAGAATTTTCTATTGGATGATTTAAATATTGGCAAGTATATAGAGTTTGTTTCAACTAAAAAGGTTTACATTTTAAATTTTTCAGAAAAAGTATGTACATGCAGCAGATGTTTATGCTATTCACTCCTACTTTTTTTATGGAAAGAAGCATATTTTAGAAGTGAGTTGTTGAACTTTAATTAAGATTTAAATGAAAATGTAATAATTAATTACATTTTAAAAAGTAGGTTATTAATTATTAACTTTTTCATTTTTAAAACATTATTAAAATTTAAATGCACAACTGTTACATTTCTATGGGCTAAAGCTTATGATTAGAACAAACATAATTAATGATTTCTATTTTTTCTCCATACAGAATGTTAATTTAAAAAAGCACCCAACATTGGTAGTTTTCAAAGACAGCAGACACTATGAATTTGACCGTAAGTATGGAAATTAATGTTTACATATTTAATGGACCATTTTTTTAATATACTGTTAAGAATATTGCTAGGGAAAATAATCCAACAGAAAATGTTAATAGCACATATTTTACTCCCTTCACATTGCTCAGCACCTGATGGGATAGCAACTGCAGCTTCTATTCAACAATGGATTAATCGTGAGCGGTATCCGGCCTTCCCAAAAATGTCTGGACCTGGGCTGAATGAGATGGCCAGTGTGGCCAGGTTTCTGGTCATCTTAGCAACAGAACAAGAGGACTTAAATAACCCCAGCTCTAGCTCCTCAAGGTAGGACATTGCCTGTTAACAAGCATTTTTGTGTGTGTATCAGCAGCCATAACAGAATAACTGGCATGGTATGAATTATCTAGGCCTTATCTCTTTCAAAAGTTCATTCAAGTTTTTGTGTTGCAATAAAATAGATTTTTGAACAGTTAAAGAATCTTAATCTGCAAAAATAATAATTTAAAAAAAAAAATGTAATATGTTTGCCAACTCTGTCCTGATCTCTGCAGCTGTTGTTGTTAATGCACCTGTTTGATGATACAAAAAGGGAGGTGAATAATAAAAAAGTAATAATACATTTTTAAAAATAGGTTTAAGTCCCCTGTTTAAATATAAGTGACCAGTTTAAAAGTGTAATATTATTAAAGTACTTAGTTTTGTGAGATACTTAGCTAGAACTACCAGTTAATAGCTGTTGCAGAATCCACCTCCTTAAGCACAACCCCCACCACCTTTATGTATGAGCTTATCTTTCCAGTAGTTACATGGCTATTGACATACATCTTAGGTAGAACTAATGCTAGCGCTTACCTGCTGAGTTAAAATTACTAAATATCTTTCATAGGTGTATGAAAAATATTGACAAATAACATACATATTTATTGGGAACTATGTGTTGGTAAACAAGTTACTTTAGTTACTCATTTTTTTTCAGTTCTTCTCTACTTTGTATTTGGGGATTACATTATTACAATCTATAGGAGTATGAAATGGTGTTTGCATTTCTTCATTAAGCTACCAAATTAAGTAGTTTATTGTATTTAATAACAAAGGCTCTTCACTGAAAACGGGATTCAGATTTTAGAAATATTACCACTAACTTAGTTATTACCACTGACTTTGATATTACCACTGACTTTGATATTACCACTGATTCAGATATTACCATTGATTACAACTGACTCAGATATTACCACTGATTCAGATATTACCTCTGATTCAGATATTACCACTTAGTTAATATTACCACTGATTCAGATATTACAACTGACTCAGATATTACCACTTTGTTATTACCACTGATTCATATATTACCCCTGACTAATGATATTATTACTAATTTACATTGTGTTAATAAAATGTCCAAACATTTTTGATTGGGAAATTACAACTGTTATGTAGTAACCTACGTAAAGAGCTGACTTTAATATCATGTAGCATTAGTCAGACTGGTATTGGTTAATGTAAGGTTATGTCCAGAGTTACCTGGTGAATAAACTATGTGGTGTAGTTTCATTGAGATGTATCTCCTCATGCCTGTACCACTGGCTCTGGTCCAGCTTGTGCCCTACAACAGTACCACTGGCTCTGGTCCAGCTTGTGTCCTACAACAGTACCACTGGCTCTGGTCCAGCTTGTGCCCTAAAACAGTACCACTGGCTCTGGTCCAGCTTGTACCTTACAACAGTACCACTGGCTCTGGTCCAGCTAGTGCCCTACAACAGTACCACTGGCTCTGTATAATCTGGTCCAGCTTGTGCCCTACAACAGTACCACTGGCTCTGGTCCAGCTTGTGCCCTACAACAGTACCACTGGCTCTGGTCCAGCTTGTGCCCTACAACAGTACCACTGGCTCTGTATAATCTGGTCCAGCTTGTGCCCTACAACAGTACCACTGGCCCTGGTCCAGCTTGTGCCCTACAACAGTACCACTGGCTCTGGTCCAGCTAGTGCCCTACAACAGTACCACTGGCTCTGGTCCAGCTTGTGCCCTACAACAGTACCACTGGCTCTGGTCCAGCTTGTGCCCTACAACAGTACCACTGGCTCTGGTCCAGCTTGTGCCCTACAACAGTACCACTGGCTCTGGTCCAGCTTGTGCCCTACAACAGTACCACTGGCTCTGTATAATCTGGTCCAGCTTGTGCCCTACAACAGTACCACTGGCCCTGGTCCAGCTTGTGCCCTACAACAGTACCACTGGCTCTGGTCCAGCTTGTGCCCTACAACAGTACCACTGGCCCTGGTTCAGCTTGTGCCCTACAACAGTACCACTGGCTCTGGTCCAGCTTGTGCCCTGCAACAGTACCACTGGCTCAGGTCCAGCTTGTGCCCTACAACAGTACCACTGGCTCTGGCCCAGCTTGTGCCCTACAACAGTACCACTGGCTCTGGCCCAGCTAGTGCCCTACAACAGTACCACTGGCTCTGGTCCAGCTAGTGCCCTACAACAGTACCACTGGCTCTGGTCCAGCTTGTGCCCTACAACAGTACCACTGGCTCTGGTCCAGCTTGTGCCCTACAACAGTACCACTGGCTCTGGTCCAGCTTGTGCCCTACAACAGTACCACTGGCTCTGGTCCAGCTTGTGCCCTACAACAGTACCACTGGCTCTGGTCCAGCTTGTGCCCTACAACAGTACCACTGGCTCTGTATAATCTGGTCCAGCTTGTGCCCTACAACAGTACCACTGGCTCTGTATAATCTGGTCCAGCTTGTGCCCTACAACAGTACCACTGGCTCTGGTCCAGCTTGTGCCCTACAACAGTACCACTGGCTCTGTATAATCTGGTCCAGCTTGTGTCCTACAACAGTACCACTGGCTCTGGTCCATCTTGTGCCCTACAACAGTACCACTGGCTCTGGTCCAGCTTGTGCCCTACAACAGTACCACTGGCTCTGTATAATCTGGTCCAGCTTGTGCCCTACAACAGTACCACTGGCTCTGGTCCAGCTAGTGCCCTACAACAGTACCACTGGCTCTGTATAATCTGGTCCAGCTTGTGCCCTACAACAGTACCACTGGCTCTGTATAATCTGGTCCAGCTTGTGTCCTACAACAGTACCACTGGCTCTGGTCCATCTTGTGCCCTACAACAGTACCACTGGCTCTGGTCCAGCTTGTGCCCTACAACAGTACCACTGGCTCTGTATAATCTGGTCCAGCTTGTGCCCTACAACAGTACCACTGGCTCTGGTCCAGCTTGTACCTTACAACAGTACCACTGGCTCTGGTCCAGCTAGTGCCCTACAACAGTACCACTGGCTCTGTATAATCTGGTCCAGCTTGTGCCCTACAACAGTACCACTGGCTCTGGTCCAGCTAGTGCCCTACAACAGTACCACTGGCTCTGTATAATCTGGTCCAGCTTGTGCCCTACAACAGTACCACTGGCTCTGGTCCAGCTAGTGCCCTACAACAGTACCACTGGCTCTGGTCCAGCTTGTGCCCTACAACAGTACCACTGGCTCTGGTCCAGCTTGTGCCCTACAACAGTACCACTGGCTCTGGTCCAGCTTGTGCCCTACAACAGTACCACTGGCTCTGGTCCAGCTTGTGCCCTACAACAGTACCACTGGCTCTGGTCCAGCTTGTGCCCTACAACAGTACCACTGGCTCTGGTCCAGCTAGTGCCCTACAACAGTACCACTGGCTCTGGTCCAGCTAGTGCCCTACAACAGTACCACTGGCTCTGTATAATCTGGTCCAGCTTGTGCCTTACAACAGTACCACTGGCTCTGGTCCAGCTTGTGCCCTACAACAGTACCACTGGCTCTGGTCCAGCTAGTGCCCTACAACAGTACCACTGGCTCTGGTCCAGCTTGTGCCCTACAACAGTACCACTGGCTCTGTATAATCTGGTCCAGCTTGTGCCCTACAACAGTACCACTGGCTCTGTATAATCTGGTCCAGCTTGTGCCCTACAACAGTACCACTGGCTCTGGTCCAGCTTGTGCCCTACAACAGTACCACTGGCTCTGTATAATCTGGTCCAGCTTGTGTCCTACAACAGTACCACTGGCTCTGGTCCATCTTGTGCCCTACAACAGTACCACTGGCTCTGGTCCAGCTTGTGCCCTACAACAGTACCACTGGCTCTGTATAATCTGGTCCAGCTTGTGCCCTACAACAGTACCACTGGCTCTGGTCCAGCTAGTGCCCTACAACAGTACCACTGGCTCTGTATAATCTGGTCCAGCTTGTGCCCTACAACAGTACCACTGGCTCTGGTCCAGCTAGTGCCCTACAACAGTACCACTGGCTCTGGTCCAGCTTGTGCCCTACAACAGTACCACTGGCTCTGTATAATCTGGTCCAGCTTGTGCCCTACAACAGTACCACTGGCTCTGGTCCAGCTTGTGCCCTACAACAGTACCACTGGCTCTGGTCCAGCTTGTGCCCTACAACAGTACCACTGGCTCTGGTCCAGCTTGTGCCCTACAACAGTACCACTGGCTCTGGTCCAGCTTGTGCCCTACAACAGTACCACTGGCTCTGTATAATCTGGTCCAGCTTGTGCCTTACAATAGTACCACTTGCTCTGGTCCAGCTTGTGCCCTACAACAGTACCACTGGCTCTGGTCCAGCTTGTGCCCTACAACAGTACCACTGGCTCTGTATAATCTGGTCCAGCTTGTGCCCTACAACAGTACCACTGGCTCTGGTCCAGCTTGTGCCCTACAACAGTACCACTGGCTCTGGTCCAGCTTGTGCCCTACAACAGTACCACTGGCTCTGGTCCAGCTAGTGCCCTACAACAGTACCACTGGCTCTGGTCCAGCTTGTGCCCTACAACAGTACCACTGGCTCTGGTCCAGCTTGTGCCCTACAACAGTACCACTGGCTCTGGTCCAGCTTGTGCCCTACAACAGTACCACTGGCTCTGTATAATCTGGTCCAGCTAGTGCCTTTCACATCTTGTGTGATTAACACAGGCCACAAGCTGGAGGAACAGAATAAACAATTGTTAAAAAGTTGTGTTTAGGTATACTTTCTTGGTCTAATGTAAGATACAATGTTGATTTGCAGTTTTATTTCTGTCATTCAAATGGCAATTCTCTTTCAAATGTTGTGCCTTTCTTAAGGCAATACGTAAATGACTTACAGTTTACTGCCCCTTGTAACATATTGTCACTCATTAACTTTGAATTGCACTTTACATCTTTCACTGTTATCTTAGTATATATTTTAAAATGTTTCTGTCATACATAGGGAAATATAATGTGAAAATTTTGTGTACAAAAAAACAACAACAAACAACTTCTCTTTGTGAACATATAA